AGTTCAAATGTCTGTAATAGACGGACGAGCGGACTTGGAGGGTAGAAAACTGAATTAATAGAACAAAATAATAATAAAAAGGATATGAAAAAGCTAAACGTATTCAATGTTGTACTCTTGTGGCTGGACTGAAGGATTTTTATTCAGCAGTGCTCCCCTCAAAAAGGAAAATTTCAATTTTTATTCCATCTTCTTCTCGTTTTCAATTTTTTTAGCATAAATTTACAAAAAAAAATATTTATGCAGTCTGTTCTGGGAAATGACATGGTTAACTGAAGTGAGACTTAAAGTTGCATCAATTTATTGACATGAGTTTTATTTACCTACATTGAGAGTTGTTTGGACACTTGTCTTGATGATGTTGTTATGATGGAAGATTTATAACGATTGAATTAAATTTAAATTCTAGCTTTTTTGACTCAAAATTTAAATTTATAAAAACCGTTATGAAGTTTTTGACTAGATTTTGATTTTTAAAAAAACCGTTTTGAACTTATTTGGCTCGATTTTGAATTTTTGAAAACTATTATGAAGTTTTTGACTAAAATCACGATAGAATCTTAAGTAAGGAAACTGCGTTCAAACCAATCACTTTCAATGATTCTCGAATATAATATTCATTTATTCCCATTCATGCGAGAATAAGAGATGAAAAAAAAAATCAATATTAAGAGAAAGAAGCAATTATGAAAATATTTGCAATGCATTTAAATTGTCATCAAAAACAATTTATTCAGACCAAAAAGCGCTTGAATATCTGTCATATAGCTACAACCACATATATTATTATATCGTCCCCTCTAGCTTCCCTTATTTTTGTCTATCATCAATCTTAAATTTCGCCAGTTTTCTTTTCATCCAAGAGACGAGAAGAAGAAGAAGGAGTATGTGTTTGGATATAAAGCATACGACAATCTCAATAAAAATAAATTTCGCTATTCAAATTTTGTTTTTTTTTTGTTAGCTAAAGCATTTACATTATCTGAATTGCGTCCGCTATGATGTGCAATAAAAAATCAATTAACAAAAGAAACACGAACAAACAAAAGGCTCAAAAAGCTCTGGTCATAAAAAATAATTTAGAAAATAAAGCGAAAGAGAGTTGAGGCAGAAACAGCAACAAACGAAGAAGAATATGCAAACAGAAAATATATTTTTTGTGTATGAATTTTTTGGGGGAGTTTTCCACAACGATTACATTAGGAATTATTTACAAATGACGTTTAAGTTTGAAGAGAACGATAGGAGATTTGGTGCTTTATAACACTGTGGACGTGGATGAGCCCGATTCTGATAATCACATCTGTAGATAAACGTCACTTATAAACGATCCTATACATTGTACAAAAAAAATTCATTTATTAAATGCAACGTATTCATTCATTCCATTCCATTCTGCCGGCAAAGAATTAAAGGAGAAAAAAATTAATCGGTTCTATTGCATCTTGTACGAGGCTATTGAAAAAGAAAAAAGTTTGAACAAAAACAAACCTCGACAAATATGATATAATCGGTATAAAAGAGGAACTGTGTTTATTTACGACACAGCCGTATTATATCCTTATATACTTTTCAGTTCTTTACACTCTTAAGCATTATTCCTTACTACCACTAAATGTACTGATTTTCATACACATTAATGCTTTTTATCACTTGAAAAAACACTTGAATGTAGAAAAAAAATACTATTTTCTTGCATCGTATAACCCAAACTATACTTCAACCCGATTATACATATTGTAAAGCTTACAACTGCTGATTCAGACACTACGATCTATAGAAAAAGTCGATGAGACTCTCTTTCGCTTTTTGAATGCGATTCTTTGTTGAAAAATTGACTTCTACGCTCTTAAATATTGCAGAAAATTTGCATTCAGTTTATTGTGGTTGAGTTTTTCATTTTTGCTGGCTGACTGGATCTCAAAAGAACATTTGTTTATGGTAGACTATTCAGAGATGTCAGTGTTTTAATTTACTGAAGCTGTTTGAAGCTCGGTTTTAAGGTGAAAACGTAAAAATCAAATTTTGTAAAACAAAAGGTAAAGTTTCATGGAATCGTTCACATTTGACGTCAATATAAATAAATGATCATCTTGTGAGTCTAGATGAGACATCAAGGTTCTATCTTAAATGCTCATTTAACAGGAATCAAAAGTAATTAGAACATTTTCTACCAAAAATACAATTTTAATGCCAAAGTTAAGTCTTTCACTAAGTCCAAATCTGAAGTATATTTCTTAATGGATTACAAACCTACTCTAAAATAAGTTAATTCACTCTGAAGTCAACATGCTTTTCTCAGTTTATTCTATAAATAAGAATCTAAGACCAAATATAAAAAGTTTAAAAATGGATTTAAGTGATATAATGTAAGGCACAGTCAAATGTTTAATACCAAGCCATCAAAGTTCTGAGAACCAAAAATGTGAAGGAGGAAAATCCCCTTAAATTCGCTAGCTACATACGGCAACGTCAGTGACTTTCCAACTAATTTTCATTCATTCAAATATGGCGGTATAATACTTAATGGTGGCAGTAATATAGTAGATGGATGCAGTAGATCCTTGAGATTTACTCTGAACTCATATGTATGTATTTTTACACAAGCGACATTAATTATTCAATATAATAGAAGACTCAATAATTGTCGTGTGCGGTGCAATTAAACGAGGGACGGATAATAATATCACACCATACATTATGTAGGATTTCTGTGCTTGTATGTGCATGCTTGTGCCTTATGTAAATTCAAACAAAAGTCTTACTTTTATGTACACTACTATGTATTTATGATACACTTTGGTAATCACACTCTCTCCTTTTTCCTTCCATTCTTACATTATCAGCGACATTTTCATGTGAGCTCAGAGTATATTGTTGTTGCCTATGTTTCAATTTTCTCCTTTTTTCCACAACTTTTTTTTTTGCTCTGCTTTTCTTATTGCTTACGTCGCGTAGCTTTGTGCTACAGCAGCACAAGAGAGAAGAAAAGCTTGTTATCTGTCTATTTGTGTGAGTTTTCACAAGTTTTTTTTTCTTTCCTTTCTTTCCTCATGTGAGATGCGTATTTTTGTTTGATTCTTTTTCTGTGCTGCTCAATAAAAAAGAAACTTTTGCTGTGAGAGGAGTACGATATGGCAAGGCTTGGTATTGATGTGATATACAATATTTCAATAATTTCTATATGTTGGATACCATTTGAGGACGTTGAAAGAGGAGAAGACATTGTTATCGTATTTGGCAGGACTTTTGTCGAACTGGATGTTTTTGTGATATTCTCAATTAAATTTGTTTTCTGATTTTAATTTTAATTCAACTGCTGTTTAGGAGTAATAACAAGATTTTTGTAGGTTTGTCAGACTTTCTTATGAATTGGAAAGTAATTTTGATTTGAATGACGTACTGATTAGTGCTTTAAATTAGGGGCCGTTCACTTATGACGTTCAGGGGGGGGTCAGCAAGAAAAGAACAATAAAAATAAGTGAACGACCCCTTAGGTAATTAAATTTTATTTTGTAATGAGCTTAAGTAATCCTTGTCAATTAAGAAATGTTTATGAAAAACCTCCACAATTTTGACATAATTCAAATTTCTAAAATACGTTATTACACAATAATCCTGTTCAACATTCATACCGCCCATACGAGAAACAGCATGCATGTACAAAGTTTTACAATAAAATTTCACAGCAATTTGTTTCTGACGATGACTTGTGTCTATTAGTTGAGTTTATACCATATAAACGAGCCTTAAAAGCTTGTAAAAATTCTCGTTTTAAAGAGAATTATAAGAGTAAGTGCAGCAGTCATACCAAGAAGTAAATCCATTTCTTTCAACTTCCAAAATTTCCTTTCACAAGCAGAGATTGTTTACAAAATTTGCTACTGAATCTATAAAAAAAATTCCTCGCTCGAGTTTCAATTTTAACATGTAAAATGTAAATTAAAGATTGCCCTAAAGTAATGCGAAGCTTTACACAAGAAACTCACTTCCAAGAATTTTCATTTCCATATTTTTTAACCGATTCTAAATTTGCTCAAAAGTGTTTTTATGAAATGCGCACATTTGCTGATAAATTCTTTGAAAAATGCGTTTAATTCTCTCGACTTTTGTCTTGTTATCATCTTCTCAGAATGCATCAATTGAACGACAATAACAAATTTTGAGAGGAATGAGAAAATAAAAACTGCCGTTGCATCCCAAAATCACAGACCATTATGTGAAAAAAAATTAGGGGAGTCATCCATAAATGATGTTTATTGAGAAAATAGATATTTTAGTCTCATTCACATGACAATTCAGTTACCAACTTCCAAAAATTAGACATCAAACACCAACGAACCCCTATTATTTCCTCAAGTCTATACAAAAATAAATTAAAGAGCTTTTCTAAAGCTTTTCATTTCAAATTGAAAAGTATTTTTTTTTTAACTATTGTGCACAATCAGTCTGTTCAAGTTTTTTTGGGGTAGAAAGGAAAAAGAAAATAGAGCTGATGTGTACTGAGCACTTTAAGAAATATTGTAGAGATAACAAATTGTCTATTCCAAATATGATGTGGACGAGGAAGAAAAAGAAGCAAAAATAAAGCATGTCTGTTAGAATAAAAGACATAAGGGAAGTACGAGCGAGCGACCAATGCATTCATGTACACATATGTAGGAAGATAATAATTTTAACGTTTTTGGTTGTTTAAAGCACAGTTTTGTTGGGAAAATTGGTTACTTTTGTCGACTGTCTTGATGATGAATTATTTTTTATTAGAGTGAGGAAATTGAGGATAATTATGGTAGATTTTGATTTTTCAGGGATTGACGGTTACACATTTTTTGAATTTTGTTCAATTCAGCGTTTTTTCAAATTTAAAATTTCCGTTACAAAGAAAATTCACTGCTATAGATTCATTAAATTATTTAAAATAGTTATGTGCCTATAACATCCACAACAGACGAGTCAGCAAACTCCTTAAAGTTTAAATTTATCGATAATATTGTACTTACATTCATTTCATAACCAGGCCTGATGAAAGTACTTGTTGTAATCGCCGTCTGATTCCGAATAGTCCGAAATCGTTGGGTAAAAAAGTTATGTGCGGATGAAAAATAAAGAGTAATCCAATTTTTGGCTCAATAATTATTTGATGATGATTTTCGATTGCCAATAATGGATTTTTATTATTATTCTTTCTCACTATTCTGTAGCTGCTTCTCACTTCAAATTGACCCAGAGAACAATTTTTATTTCACTATGTTATTTTTATATTATAAATTTATTATTTTGCACTTTTTCTACTTCTTCAATATTTATAACAACACAGTTTTTTGCTTCTTTTTATTAATTTTACACTCTTTTTCTTCTCACATCCACTTATTTCCTTTACCAGAGCAAATGTACGAACTCTTTTCTTCTTTATTTTTAACGAAAAATGAAGCACACAAAAAAATATATATCTTTAATTTTTCTATAAAATAAAAAATCAATGATTGATTATCTATTATGTAAAAAGAAAATAATCACATCATAATTAGCAGATTCAAATAGGCTGATTTTGAATTTTTATTTGTGCTTCACAACTTTATATAAAGTTTATTTCCAATTTGAACTTATAACTGTCTTTTAACATTTAAATTGTTCACAATTGAAGCTAAATTCACGTCATAAAAGAATTCAAATTTTAAATTTAACGGATATTATTTAAAATCCAGTTTTTTCAGAGCAGATCTTGATGGTGGTTGTTATGTGTGATTTAAGGTACATAAGAAGATTAATTATGTTTTGGCAATAAATTTTTATTTTACTATGTATGCAGTGGTGTTGTATCCTTTGATAAAATATTGACTATTTAAAAAATCTACTTGTTATATTTGAGGGATTCACTTATCACTTCCTATATATTCTGTTTTATCGTCGTCGTAAACAATGAGCAGTCAGTACAACAAATTAACACTCTTAAATCCTTACTGAATGTGTCTCTATAGGAATGACCTTTTTTCCTTAAAATAATTTTCAGATGGGGGATATCTTCTTATTCTTCTGATTATTATTGTTGTGTGTATATAAGAACAGCAAGAATAAGAAAGAAAAAAAGTTTTGTGATAACAAAGATGGAGCCGATTCCTTTAGATTCCTATGAAATATCTAAATTGACCACTATTTGAGAGATAAATCGTCTAATATTAGCTTTTATCAGTTCCTATAAAAATTTGTGTATCCTCCCTATTCTAGTCTTTAAAATTGTATTTAATTGAATTTTAGTCACACTGAATTTACGATTATTATTAACATTTTTCAATTTGAATTACGGAAATGGAATTTAAATTCTTTTATTTTAAATTGTAACTTTTTAATAACACTTTATCACTATTTTGTAGCTTCTCCTTTTTGTGGTTCTCTCAAGGAATTTTCAACATATAAAAGAAATTTTTCACAAAAAAAAATCCATGGGGGATGAAAAATTTTCCTATCCACCTTAAATTGAATAAAACACGCGAGAACTGACGGACTTTAATTATCTACGGCTTAAAACATATTTAACAAACAGACTTTAGACAGTTTTTGATGACTTTTTAAGCATATTTAATTTGAAATGATTTTTCTTTTTTGAGATTTTTTTTTTCAGTTCATTATCGATTTTTTATATCCATTATTTCACAGAAGAACTTCCACAACACATCAAATTTGGAAAAAGACTGAAGATTTTTTCTTACTGTAGGATTTTGCGTCACTTGCTTGTTTCTCATTTTTCTCTCTCTCGGATTGTGTGTTATTCTCTCGAAACAGGGGGTATGCATATCCAAATACTGTGCTTTAGATGCAGGAGGCGTTTAAATTTCTCTCTCAGTGAAGATTGTGCCGACATGTGAGAATCATTTGTTTAAAATTGTCTATTTTAGACGTAGGAATAACTTTAAAAAATTAATTCTGATACTAATCACATTAATCTTCCATAATTAATATTTTACTTTTTATTCTACGAATTAATTCAGTCAAAAATTCAATTTTAAACATTTGTAAAAATCTTATTCAAAAGATAACAGACAATTTGAATTTTTTGAAAAGAGAAGAAAAGATTTACAAATTCTGAAAAACCGTTGACTTTTGAAATTTTTCACCACAAATCATTTCGCTATCCATCAAATCAAGTACAAATTAGCTTTCTTATGACAACCTACATCACTCCACAACAAATCGCCATACATTTCATTAATAAATTCAATTTTTTGTGTCTGTGCTTCAGCACTTTGTTATTTTAGACTCAAAAATAAGAAAAAAATTTTCTGTGTAAAGTGAAATATTGAAATATTTAATTTATTTCAATTTCTCGTCCATTATAGCATGTTTAAATAGACAAATGTTGTGAATAAGTGTATAATAAGTTTGTTAAAGACAAGATTTCATAGAAAAGTCTCTAGATAAAGGCTTAAAAATGGATGATCATAATGAATTTCAAATGACGACATCTAATTCGACAGAATTTACAGAAACTGTCGGATTTTCGGGATATTCTGACTTCCATACCATAGATTGGCAAAAAGATCTAGCTAGAGATCGTATGCGACATCGGTACATAATAAAAAGAAGACAAAATTCATTGTGGGAATTAATTAAGGTATGGTCAATCTGGATCGTCATTCTATGACATAAATTAATAATATAGAGCACTTAGTTTCTCTTTACAATCTCTTTTTCCTTCATTTTAATCTCTTACTCTTTGATTTATTAACACTATTTTTTTATTGTTGTTGTAGGGAGCTCATGATGCACTTTCAGGCTGGCTTTGTGTATTGCTTGTAGGTTTAGTGACGGGATGTGTAGCAGGCGTGATTGATATTGGTGCAAGTTGGATGACTGATTTAAAACATGGAATATGTCCACAAGCATTCTGGCTTAATCGAGAACAATGTTGTTGGTCATCAAATGAGACGACATTCGATGCTGGTAATTGCTCACAATGGGTGACATGGTCAGAAATAATTGTAAGCGCTAAAGATGGATTTGGTGCTTATATAGTCATGTACTTTTTCTACATATTTTGGGCGTTGCTCTTCTCATCATTAGCTGCTCTCTTAGTTAAAAACTTTGCACCATATGCATGCGGCAGTGGTATTCCTGAAATTAAAACAATCTTATCTGGATTCATTATTCGTGGATATTTAGGAAAGTGGACATTAATAATTAAATCTGTTGGTATTATACTTTCCGTATCAGCTGGATTGAGTTTAGGAAAGGAAGGTCCAATGGTTCATATTGCAAGCTGTATTGGAAATATTTTATCATATCTATTCCCAAAATATGGTCGAAATGAGGCAAAAAAGCGTGAAATCTTATCAGCAGCAGCTGCGGCAGGCGTTTCTGTTGCTTTTGGAGCTCCAATTGGTGGTGTTTTATTCAGTTTAGAGGAAGTCTCATATTACTTTCCACTCAAAACACTTTGGAGATCATTCTTTTGTGCATTGATTGCTGCTTTCATCCTTCGTTCCATAAATCCATTTGGAAATGAACATTCCGTCTTATTTTTTGTTGAATACAGCAAACCTTGGATCTTTGTCGAGTTATTGCCATTCATTTTCCTTGGAGTCATGGGAGGATGTATTGGAACGCTCTTTATAAAAGCAAACATTTATTGGTGCAAGTTCCGTAAATGCAGCAAATTGGGTCAATATCCAGTCGCTGAAGTCATAATTGTTACTTTAATAACAGCAGTAATAGCATTCCCAAATCCATATACAAGAATGAACACAAGCGAACTTATATACTTGCTATTCAGTCAATGTGGAATATCAAGTGGTGATCCAATTTGGTGAGTCATTATCTTTATGCTTACTCTTTGTCTCTTTGTTTTATTTTAATCTATTTCTCTGTTATCATTTGACTGTTGTTCTGTATTTTAAAGTGATTATAAGAGAAATTTTACAAATGTGAATCAAGCAATTGAAATCGCAGCTGCTGGTCCAGGAGTATATCATGCAATATGGCTTTTAATATTAGCAATGATAGTTAAACTTATCATGACAATTTTTACGTTTGGAATTAAAGTTCCTTGTGGTCTCTTCATTCCATCGCTGTGTCTTGGTGCAATTATGGGACGTATTGTTGGTATTGGCATGGAACAGCTTGCTTATAATTATTCCAAGAATTGGATATTTTCCGGTGAATGTACCCAAGGTGATGATTGTATTCAGCCTGGATTGTACGCAATGGTTGGTGCTGCAGCTGTTTTAGGTGGTGTTACTCGAATGACTGTGTCATTAGTTGTAATTATGTTTGAACTTACTGGTGGTGTGAGATATATTGTTCCTTTAATGGCAGCTGCGATGGCGTCGAAATGGGTCGGAGATGCTCTTGGTAGACAGGTATATCCATATCCAATGCTGAATATTCATGAGTAGTACTGTATTATAATTAAAATCCTTTTTATGCTAATTAAGGGTATCTATGATGCTCATATAGCCTTGAATGGCTATCCGTTTTTGGATAGCAAGGACGAATTCCAGCATACTACGTTAGCGGGTGATGTTATGCAACCAAAGTAAGTCATTAAACTCTAATCATACATAACTGTTAACATTTTAATTATTTTCTTACTGTTATTATTTTATAAAAGTAAAATGCGCATTCAGTCACTAAACTTACCTACTTAAAATTCTAATTATGTATACATAATATTAATTAATTTATTTTCTCTCTCTTCTCTTCCACTCTCTTTGAATAACATCATAGACGTAATGAGGGACTTGCTGTTATTACACAAGATTCTTTGACTATTGATGATATTGAAGTATTATTAAAAGAAACAGAGCACAATGGATATCCTGTCGTCGTATCACGTGAAAATCAATATTTGGTTGGATTTGTTCTTAGAAAAGATTTAAATTTGGCATTAGGTGAGATTGAGCAGTCTAGTCATGCTTCATCAGATGTAAATAAACTTGACATTTTTTATCCTTTATTTATTTACAGCAAATGCTAAGAGGAATTTCGATGGCATATCTGGTCAATCCTTAGTGATATTTACTAATACCAGCATAGTCCAGAATCTCGGCCCAGCGCCTCTTAAATTAAAGAAGGTAATCATCCGCAAACAGCATCGAATGTGGAATTTCTAATGACTATGCTTTATTTTACAGATTTTAGACTTGTCACCCATAACAGTCACCGATCAAACGCCAATGGAAACTGTGGTGGATATGTTTAGAAAATTAGGTTTACGTCAAATTTTAGTCACACATAATGGGTAAGTAATAATAGTAATCCTTTATTTGAATTCATGAAATATGTCGGAACAAAAATGAAGATTTTTTGATATTAACCTCGTCGGTTTTAAATCAAATTTTATACTGAGATATGATTAGTGATATGACATGATTTAAGCTTTGAAAATTTGAGTTTCGGTCAAAAAAATTTTTTAATAAGACCAATTAAAACAAAAAGAAAATTAATAATAATAATAATGGGTAAGTGATAAGCATCGTTCGGTTTTATTGAGTAGAAGATATGCCAGATGAATTTTAAAGTTTATTTTTATTGATTTACGGTCAATTAATGATTTTTTGAGGCGCCAATTTGAATTTGTTGCTTTAACTGTGCTTCAAGTTTAAATTGAGGCTTCAAGCTTTCTTCAATGATGTTGGGGTCTAAATTGGTCAAAACATTCCAGGAACCTTTGTTGACTTAAATCTTCATCTGGCTAATCCTTTTGATTAATTTTAATCAGTCATGATAATCCGAGGATTTATTTTTAAACCAAATTTAATTAATTCCTTAAAATTTCTTCCACAGTCGACTGCTAGGCGTAATAACAAAGAAGGACGTATTGAGGCACGTAAAGCAAATGGATAATGAAGATCCAAGTACGATATTATTCAATTAAAGAATATGCAGCATAAGATTTGAGCAAAAGTTTCTATCAACAAGTAACAGATAACGGGCAGAATTAAAGAGATATATGAAAAGTTTATGTTTATTTATTTTTATGCAAACACATTTTTTATGTTTTATAATAATCCACACAAGCAAAATTCTTAAATACACATGCAAATTATATCAATCTTGACTGATAAAATTAAAAAAAAATTAACATTCATAAATTTATAGCATCATCTACATTGATTTCTAATAGATATTTCAAAAAGGAACAAAAATCGTAAATGAGATTTTTATTATTTGTTCTTTAAAAAAGTATGTATGCTGGAAAGTGATAGTGTTTAATACAGTAAGGACTATTTGAAGAGAGTATTCAGAGGAAAAATTTATTTAATCTATGTAAATTTGTGGATAATCTTAAATCGAATAGATTCTATTATGTAGTTAAATATTGATTATTAGTTGTATTAAATAAATTATGTTCTGTAATGAAATTGCTGTTTTTATTTTTTCAGTGTTTATCAACTAATTTGCCGTTATTACCGTTAATTTGAAATTCAAATTTTTTTGAAAATATTTGAATTTCTTTCAGCAGTTAATTTTCAAATATCTTTTGACCGTTGAATTTTTTCACACAGCTATTCTATTCAGTTATTCTTTGTTTTACATCCTTCCAGATTGATGTAATCGATTCCATTCAATAAATTACACAATGATGATCAAAACAAGACAAACTATACGATGAAAAATGCAACCACGTCTACGAAATCAATTTATACTACTTTACTATGTAGTTTGTCTAGAACTGCGTAATTCATGTCGTCATTCATATATGCAATGCATGTGGACAGGGAAAACGTGCACGACAGAAACGAGGATGAATTGGAATAATCAGATCATCAAGCAATTACAGACTCAATAAATAATATGTGCTTTTTATATGCTCAATTTCAATTAGTCATTGCTGATGACATAAGTGGAACTAAACAAGATACACCTTTGAGGGAAGAAATATAAATAAATGTCAGATCTGTGACAGCATGGTGCCTGAAAATAATGTCATCGGTTAATATTATTAAGGTTATCTGTTATTGATAGAATTTGCTTCAATCTACCCTCTATGCTTGTTTCTATGCTTGTCAAAATCAAACATGTTGGATGAAATTTCATTAATAAAACGGAGTAATTTGTGTACTTGCACAAATATTTACATTCGTGTCTATTCGATGAATTTTTTGCGTTGTAAAATACTAGAAAGCTGGGCCCAGCAACAAGTTTTCATTAGTTATATTGTTTTATCATGTCACGTGTGTTTTGGTTGAAAAAACCGTTAAAAAATTTATTTGAAATCAAAGCCATAAAAATTTTATTCAAAACCATCCAAATGACAATTTTCCCAAACACTTGTACAGCTCTAATTTCAAAATATCAACAAACTGAAATTTTGTGCATAATTCCTGCATAAAATTCAATCCAACAACCGCAAAACTATTACCAATAGCTAATAAAACTCATATTGCATCATGTGAAACACATATTGAACTGTTATGTTACAGATACAAAAAACTTCACCTTAATTGTTTTTATTGAGATCCAGTCAATATGCTCAACGCAGATAGACAAATGTTTGAGACAATATCCATACATCCATAATAGCATCATCATTAATATCTCAACATGGATCCAAATTACCTATTCCGTTCGAGGTATATAAGCCAGTCCTTTCATATCGGAAATTGTCATTTAGAATCTGTATCTTTTACATTAAACTACTCTGCCAAGGATATAAAGAAAGAATAGACAGAATGGTAAAGTCAAGTGATATTTTAAAACTCATTCTCGTAATTCAATTTGTGGAATTTTGTGTAGCATTGCCACTTAATGAAGACGTCTATGACAGTGCAGTAAGTGATCGTAAATTAATGAAGTTAAAAGCCTTCAAAAATAATCATGTGGATATTTTCTCAAAACAGTATGACCAAGAACTTAACGGATATGTTCCTATCGCCTCATTAGTAGCACCCTCAAATTATTGGCAACAGAAAGCATTCCCAACAAGTCGTTATTATCCATCATTAAATGAGAGAAATATCAAGACGTGGTTAGTGCCTTCAAAACGGAACTCGGAACTTATTAACTCGCTATTAGGACTACCCAAAAACATGGATCAAATTGGGAAATAAATAATCTTGTTGTGAACTTTTATCAATCAGGTGACTGCTTAACGTGCTGGAAACGCTTAACTAAAACACATGTTCCATATTAAATGATTTTGTAAATATAAATTATAAATTTCTTATTATAAACTTTTCACATTTGATCTCGAAAAAATAAAATAAAAAAAATGGGGAAATAGAAAGAAAATGCAGTGATTTATTGTTTTATTTTTGAGTGCCATGTAATTGATTTACAGTGACTGCAAAATTATGGATATTGTCGATTAAAATTTTATTTCATTATTGGATCCAATTTCAATCGAAGTTTTCAGATTGTTAAGTACTCAAAATGCTTAAGAAAATTTTCCAATTGATTTTTGCAGCTGCTTTTGTGAACTTCTGTGCAGCCTTTGATTTTAATGACTACTACACTGCTGTAAGTTTTAAAAATTTAAATCCAAAAATTTGATTACATTTCTTTTTCCAGCACGATCAAATGGATTTTCCAGAATCTATGACGAGAGGTGATGCGGCTTTCCTACCAATCAATAGATTTAATCCAAGCAATAGATTTGAAATGAGTCCATTATTACTACCAACAAGTATGTTCGATACGGATCGATATTTCCGATATAACGATCTATCAAACATGGATCCATTGAATGTAAGAAGACAATCAGAAATTATTAATGTCCTATTGGGACTTCCTAGAGGTCTTGAGGAAGCTGGATAGATATAACCTAAATACTAGGATTAGAATGATTCAATTGATTCAATAAAGTTTGATTCAAAATTCTGTAGATAATTAAACTAGCAGTTCCACTCTAATTCTGACAACATTTCATTTATGAATCGTGCTGTTCATTTACAAAGTTGAACATTAGATTTGAGTTTCTTATCAAATAAGTAAGGTTGAAATAACCTTTTAATTTCCTTTAACAGCACAATAAAAATTTGATTTAAAAGAGGCAGAAATAAATTGAGAAACTTTCGTCAATTAACAAAGTTCACAGAAACGTTGGAAGTACTTTAAAAAAATTTGAACAACTTTTTAAAGCAAGTAAAAAATTATCTTTTAAAGCTTACAACTTAAAATTAATCGCTTCTGTTGGAATTTCATTTAATTTTCGCACTTCTGAACAGCTTATTAAAGTTCTGAAAAAAGTTTTAAGCATGAAGCTTTTGTAGGATGAAGAGGATAATGCTCAAAAGTTTTCTAATAACAAGAAATTGGATAAAAGGATAATAAATTTGCTTAATTTGTTGAATGTAAATTTGGTGTATCCAGGAATGAGTCGGATATTGATACCAAAGACGTAGAGTCTTAAGATAAGATTGCATTTTTGTGAGATTATCAAATAGAATCCTAAGACATAAAATTGGATAAGGGGCCATTCACTTATTACGTAACGCTTTTAGGGGGAGGGAGGGGGGGTCTAAGATTTTGTTACGGTTCAAACAAGGAAATTTTTTTTTCATACAAATTTTGTTACGAGGGGGGGGGGTCTAAGAAGTCATTTTTTCGCGTTACGTAATAAGTGAACAGCCCCTAAGAACATACAAAAACCATCTTCATAATTAATTCTTTCTGGAAATCTATAAGTTCATTTCGTGTTGCCGTCTGTAATTTCGATTTCTTCTTCCCAAACAGAAACACTTAAGCAGAGTTGCGAAACAGGTCACCTGTGACAGGTGAGAACCTTTCAATTCCTTGATAATTTGTATGGTTTTGTTAGAAAAACCTTATAAATTATCAAGGAATTGTAGGGTTCTCACCTGTCACAGGTGCCTGTTTCGCAGCTCTGCACTTAAGATGCTTTCTGAAACTAAACATGCACAGCTAGTAAAAAGTCGCTAAGATTTATTTTTTCAAAATATTTTCATAATTTTTATTGAATACTGGGCTGCATCAATAACTCTCATGAGGCAGATATAAAGAATTTCAACAAGAAAAAAAAATGTTTACAATATACAAATATCGTCGTCTACATCCATAATTATAGTGATCATAATAATAATAATATTTATAAAGGAAAAGAGTATGAAAAACTTGGCTAAATATAGTCTGATTGCATATGAAATATCCAGAAAAAAATCGTATGAGGACATTCATTTAATTGTTAAATCTCATTAGGGTTGTTCAGTTGTGAGGTCTAGGGTTTAGTGGAGATGGGACAGTCAGTGACGTACTCTTGATTTCTGTATCTAAAAAGTACTCCTAATTCATCACTACTGTGTATTTGGAGTCGATTCTATTCATGATGACAAATAAGGTTTAAGGAAACAATCCCAAATTGATCAACGTCACTCATGAACAACCCCGACTTTTGTGGGATCCTAAAATTAATGTTTATGTTTATGATGAGCTAATTCTTATGCAACATTATTCGTAGTGGTATGATCCTCGACAATTCCACTCTTCTCGTCATCGTTAGCTAAGCTAATTAATGAAATTGTCATTTTACCACTTAATATGACTGTCTCATCCTCAGCAACATCCTTCACTGAAGGATATTGTGAGAGTCGCTCAGTTTTTGTCTCTGTCTCAGTCGCTGACACGAAAATCTTAGGATCGTGTGGCAATTCACCTTCAAGGAATATTGACTTAAGATCTGAATTCTCAATATTTCTCACTGACTTGATGTGCATTGCTTCTCGAAGATGATTCAGCCTCTTTTCAACCTCAATGTTATGTTCAGATTTAATATCATTGCTTTCATTTTTAGACTCGGAATCTTCTCCATTCACATTCAATAAATCTTTTGATGATTCATCCTTTGTTACCTTCATGTCTTCTTCCTCCTTCTCATTCGTTTCTGTTGACTTTTCATTCTCATCCAATTTTATATCAGCTTGTGTGTTTTCATGAATATTTTCATGTTCACACTCATCTTCACCTGTTTTATGAGCATTATTATTGTTACTTATGTGCTCCTGAAAGACATTACGAGATTCCAAATAAATTATTCTGTAAGCAACTCAACTTTTATCCCGAGCAGCACATCAAGAACTTTGTTGACTCCCTAAAGATATAAACTAAAGTTCTAAAGCCAAAAGTTCGATATCCCGCAAATAAATCTCTTGTTCCGCTCGGGTCTTGTTTACTTACAACATTTTTCTCAGCACACTCTCGTTCGATCTCACTCAACTGGTTATTGGTAGCATCAATAATTCCCTGAATTGCTGTATATACTAGAAGTAGAAAAATGAGAATCAGAAAGATTGAATTAGAAGAAATCAGAACTATTAAGCTTTCATTCATAGCGCAAAAAAAGTAAACTAATAATAATCTATAGGCACATTCCGTAAGTGCGTTGCAATATCTCATATTATTATTGAAAAATTATTGAGTGCTTATGAACTATAAAAAAACACGGAAGGTGGACACGTGGAAGGAAAAATATTTGTAAAGACTGAATTATCTTACTTGCGTTGTGATCTTTCCATCCTTAACAAACACGAGAAATGTATCATTATTGATAGCAATAGAGACAATATAAGAGATGATGTATTATAAACTGCCTTTTAATGAATTGAAAATAATCTTTTGGATGTCCCCAAAAAGAATTATTTTCAAAATGATTAATCAACTCACCCAATTTCTTCTTCGGTTCTTGTGGTACTGCTTGCTTGAAGACTTTCTCTACAAAGTTTGGATCTGACTGCATTGCTCCTTTTACTTCTGGCTTGGTTTTCTTGAGCAAAATTTTGGCAATAGTGAATACGAAGAAGGCTACAATGCCGAACGTGTATAATGGCATTATAATTGATGAGCTTGCGGCTTTTTGTTGCTGTTGGTTCTGAGCTTGGAAAGATGCTGCTCGTAAATTTGGACCTGGTTGACCCGGGACCATCGGCGATCCAGGCTGAATTGAGAGAAAGAGAGCTAATGACATCACAAAATCATTAAAATAATTCGAGCAAACTTACTCGTCGTTCGATATTTGAAGGAAGTCCACCGGGTCTTCCTGGTCGTTCAATAATCGGTACAGTCGGAAGTGGATGAATAGCTCTTCCACGTTCCTGTAAACCAGGATGTATAACGTCCTTAAAATGAGGTGGTCTCTCTTGCTTTTGTAAATCTACTCAAAAATTGATTAATCAGCATTAAGTCATAAAATATTAAAGGATTATTCATACTTGGCGGTAGACGATTGGGATCCTGTTTTATAGTAGCAGGACCCGTAATCATTGGATAGAAGATTTTTGGGAAGAGAACAGCGATACATCCTACGACTGTAACTATAACTAATAATGTCTTCTTAGGACCGAGGCCCATTTCCTCTGCTTGCGTCGTTGTCGGTCTTTGCTGGACATTTGATCTCATTTTTGTATAATTTATTAAGTAACTCTCTCAATTAATTTCAGTTTTATCTTTTCACGAGCTTCAAAAAAAACTTCTTCTTATTTCACTTTTCACTCAATCACGAATTAACGAGTCTATTTGCACCAACATATCTCGAAGAGCTGTGAATGGAATTAATGAAGATGTATTGAGAATGATGAAAGACATATAAAAATCGTGGTCAAGTGCTTGGAATCAATCAATATGTATCTTGAAGAATTTTTTTATGATCATTTTCTCCTTCTATCTCAAGTGGAAGTTCCTATATACATAAGTTTATGTATTCATGGCGCTTAATTGATTTTTTATTCTGCTGCATTGATGTTTATTAGAGACGCTCTTTAATTAGCTCAGATATAAAGTCATTGATAAATTTTTAATTATTGTTCTAAATCCTAGGGATTATATTTTGTTTTTCTGGGCCTGCTCTAAGCTTAACTATAACTGCAATTTTAACTCATTCGAAAGATTATTTGCGCTTAAAATATGTGTGCCATATCAACGGTAAGTTTGACAAAAGATCTTTTCGATTAATCACTTCCTAATCTTGAAATTGCTAAAATACATTCTGAAGTGGGTTACGTAAAGCTAACGTTACGTAAAAATACGTACGTACAATTATAAAACGTGAAATTTATTGTTTCACATGATTTATCTACTTTTGAGGAGTTCAAGAGTAAATTGTTTGTGGCGAAAAGAAATTTTAAGGTTTGGTCAAATATTTGTAACGTTAATTCTAGCAAAAAGCGCTTTTGACATCCACAAAAACAATTACATCGTCACTTTTTATTAGCTGTAACTTTCGCTCCGAAGAACGTGATTTCCTTTATATAAGAAGAATGTACAATAATAATATTTTCTCATTTTCATTTTCATTTAAGCAAAAAATATAAAATAAAAGAAAAGAAAATAAATCTGTGAAAAAAGAAAATTCAGAGTTGCTTTTAATAGAAATTTTACGTAATGTTTATTATTTCACAGAGGCTGAACCGTTCCAATCTCTGACAAAAAGTTAACAGGTTTCAATAATTTAACAAGAAATTTATCTTATCCATTAATTGGAGATGATGATTTTGTATACAAACTAAAATTAGTTCAGATCATGTAAATCTTTGAAGGAAGTAAGAAATGACGTGGTTTCACAAACAGCTTGCACTTTCATTATGAATAGACGTCATAACAATTATGTTTGGTTCCCACACATACATTTATGGTTTCATCATCAATGGATTCACACATTGGCCGATAGTCAAGGTTCTTGTAGATGAACTTGAATTTTAAGGCATAAAACTATTTTCTTTTCATTCTATAAATATTTCCCATCGCACCCACTAAAGATCTTTTTTTTCCAAAGCCAGTAAACAGGCAAAAGATGACTCTCATAATTTCTCTCTCGCATGACATTGCATTGCACTTTTTTACAGCTTCAACTTTTTTTCTATTAGATTGTTTGACACTTTGACTACATTTTGAGCTTGTACTTGGATTTTTAGTTGATGAAGGAAGCTTTTAATCATGATTTAAAAAATTTATGTGCATCATGCTACATTCTCTCTCTTAAGATTGACGATTTGAGATAATTACTGAGGAATTTGTCTACGATGAATGATTTAAAATTGGCTTGACATCTGTTTTTGAGTTTGGAATGTTTTGAATACTTGTGAAAATTTAGGAATTCATGAAATTTTTAAAGATTTTAGATTCTTGTCTCTGAGAATCGAGAAAACCAAGTTTTCTTAACTGGATCTTTAATGATTTGGTAATTCAAACAGGAAATTGAATGTTTTACAACTGTTTACTGAATTTCGTTAGATTTGACCTTGATAAATAAAATAATATTAGGAATTCAATTTGAAATCGTGTTGTAAAAAGCACAACAATAAAGGTAGCTGAATAACTAGAATTATACTGAATCAAAATTGTTATTAGGAATAGAAAGCTGGCAGCCATTTAAAGAGATAATTGATAAATGTCTCAACTCGATTGTGGATCAAGAAGCAGCAAAATCTCAGCTGAGTTGGATGAATTCAGCAAAATAAAATTTAAATTTTCTATGTTCAGCTGAGCATCTTGATTTGAAAAAATGTGCTGAATTTCTGTTTCTTAGCTGAAAGTTTAATTTATTGAAATTAGCTGAATTCAGCTCATTCTTAGAAGCTATTTCAATCTTATAAGATTAATTCGACTGAAAATTTCGAAGTGATTCAAACTTAATTGACAAAAGCTCGTCACTTCCTTGTTTCAAACGAGTTTTTAATGAACTTTTAACTACAAATAAAATAGCTGATAATTAAAGCCTATTAAACTGAAGTCTCTAATCAATATCCAATTGAGAATTGATTACAAAAACCTCTTTTTAATTGAATTTCCTGTATAATTTTCATATTATGGATAAATTAGAGCACCTGATCAGCAACTTTATCCACCAAACTAATTGAATTTTCTAATTTACGAAATCATGCACCTTGATTTTTTGTTTTCAGTCATTTTTCACACACAAAAAAAAACTTATTTTCGGGCACATAATTAAAAGCGGCATAAATGATCTCAGAATTTTCCTCTGTTCACTAAAAATAATTTTATTTTTTCCCTCCTACAGAGCCAGCATACAAAAGGGTCAAGTCATATTATTATTCTTTAATTCTTATGCAGTGCCAAAATTTAATAGCGAATAATAAAAAAATGTCCAACTTTTTAATTTTTTTCTTCTTCATAAAATTACGAATACTTTGTGGGATTCTTTTTCTCTATTTTTATGTAAATATTATTTTTAAAATAGTCTTCAAATTGATGTGTTATTTTTAGAGTACAACCACATTAGATATCGATGTGAAGAAAATTATCATTTTTCGACCCACAAATCTCTTTTTTGAGACACTTGAGGAGATAAAAAAATTTTTAAGGATTCAATTTCTCGAGAATTCCAAAGCACTTCCATTCACCTCAGTTCGTTAAATCACCATTAAGTATTAAACCTTTTCTCAGCTACTTTTCGTTAAAATCACACTAAACTTAAAAATGTGCAAAAAATTATAAATTTAATAAAATATTTTGTAGCGGTACCGAAATATCGACTGAAAGAATTAAGTGTAAAAAAATTTCTGTTTCGACAGGAATTAACACAGGTTCGAGTTTGCGCGTTGTTTGAAGAAAATTATTTGGCATACATTTTTATACGAATGATTTTTCTGCTGCCTTCTTTTTAATTTTCGAAGAAAATTTCTTCTTTATGACGTTATCAAATGAGTCTTATAAACTATTCAAGCAATAACATCCGGTAATTGATAAATATTTGTATTAAAAATTGAATAACATATGTTTCCAGTCGATGATAGTTTCATTGATGTCATTTTTGAATTCAGATATATTTTGACTTTGGCAAATAAACAGCATAAGATATATTTGTTTTTGTAGGAAAACATTGAAAACAGCTTTCATATGACTGATTGTTTTGAACTTTCTATTGTTGTTGTCGAAAATTCGGAATTGGAAACATTGGAGGTTTGAGGGTTGTGGATGGATGTTTATATTCACACTTTAAAGTGTCTAGGATCTATAACACGATCATCCTCAACTATACATATGTTCAACAGCTCTTTCTTTGAAGGATAGTTGAAATTAATCGAGGAATTGCTCAAACTCAAGATTCAACTTCTTGCCAACTCTTAACTCAAATCTACTCCATGTTAAACAATTAGGTTAGTAAATCTTCAGAAACCAGATCAATAGATCATCATTTAATGCCTTTGATCACTCAACTATAGTCGAATGATTCCTAATAAGATCAACAACACAAAGAACCCAAAGCAAGATATCGGTGTGAATATGAAGCAAACAATCACGCACAAAGAAATCAAAAACTTTAGCTAATACTACGCCAATGGATTTTCGAATATATGACGTCAAATGTCAGTTCTAGTTTTCTTCGTCTCGCAGAAAAAATGTCATAAAGAGTTTATTGTTCATTTTAGTTCTAATCATTCGCAAAATTAACAAATTAATAGTTTATTCCGATAGAGAAAGTCTGTAACTGTGATTAAGGCATAATGTTTGAGAAAGTTTTATATATTTTATTAAGTTATTATTGTTTAAGTTCCTTTGCATTTACAATTCATTCTCAATCGCCAAAAAGTGAGGATGAAAGTTTTTTGGAAATTCCACATTATCATTCAAATGATGAACTTGCTGACTATTTATTAAAGCTACAAAAGAATTACTCTAAAATTCTTGACGTACGAACAATTGGAAAATCATTGGATGGAAACGACCTTATTGTCGCTAGAATCTACAAAGATGTTCAACGTCCCCGAAGCATTTTGGTGCCAATGTTTAAATATGTTGGTGGAATGCACGGTGATGAGACAGGTATAAATCAATTTCTAACAGTGTTAAGTGCTCCAGATTAAAGAAACTTTTATTTTCAAACTTATATAGTTGGCAGGCAATTGCTTATTTACTTGGCTGAATACTTAGTGAAAAATTATGGAGTTATTCCCGAAGTAACAGATCTCGTCGATACAACAGACATTTATCTCATGCCATCCATGAATCCAGATGGTTTTGCCAAGAGTCGTGAAGGCTCCTGTGAGTCGATGCAAAACTATTATGGACGATATAATGGAAATGGCATAGATTTAAATCGGGATTTCCCCGATCGTTTAGATCGTATGGACAATCAATTGATTAGCAAAATTTATGATACACGACGACAGCCTGAAACATTAGCTCTTATTGACTGGATCAAATCCAATCCATTCGTATTGTCTGCAAATTTACATGGTGGTGCAGTCGTTGCTTCATACCCATACGATAACACAATGTACGTAATAATTTTTTTTCTTCTGAAAACTGTATTTTTTATGGCTTGATTCATAGCTTTTTTTCTATTTTGATTCACACACAATAATCATTTTATATTTCCTATAAACAGGTCTCATCATGATTGTTGTGAAGATTCTCCAACACCTGACGATTCCGTCTTTAGATATTTAGCACGAACTTATGCTAAGAATCATCCAGTAATGAAGGATGGTAATGACTGTAATGAAACATTCCCTAATGGTATAACTAATGGAGCATATTGGTATGATTTGAGTGGTGGCATGCAAGACTTTAACTACGTATTCAGCAATTGCTTTGAAATCACATTGGAATTGTCATGCTGCAAGTTTCCATCACGTAGAGAACTACCAACAGAATGGCAGAAGAACAAAAGAAGTTTATTGGAATATTTAAAGTTGGTTCATATGGGCGCAAAAGGAGTTGTTAAAGACATCAATGGATATCCAATTAAGGGTGCAGATATCTATGTACAAGGCATGGAAGAAAAGCCAATTAGGACAACTGATCGTGGTGAATACTGGAGATTATTAACACCGGGTACATACAATATTCGAGCTATCGCATTCGGGTGAGTAATCATTCAGCACAAGCATGTAATGAGTCTCATAATAATAAAACCTTGATAAGCGGGTTGAATGAGAAAATTAGATTGTGGGCGGAATCCGCGTCATAGTCATCATACACAGCATATAATAATATTTGCCTTATCTCTTTTAATAGATTTGTCCCATCACATTATGTAAACGTTGTCATCAAGGAAGGAGAATCGACAGCCATTGTTGACTTTACTTTAAGTCCATCTGAAGGTATTTTTAAATAAATTTTTGCTCCACTAAATGCTTTTGGTTTTGTTTCGGGAGTAAAAGTCGGTGGTTGATGGGTACAATAATTCTATTTTATATAGTAAAAAGTCACAATAATCTGAACACATTCCAAAAAAAAAAAAAAATAAATTCAATTCACAAAATAAAATCTAATTTTTATGGCGTAATTAGATCTCTATCTCATGCTATGCATTAATACTAAGGCAATGTTTATGGATGCTTTTATACGAGTTATACTTGACTAACACCACATGCAAATACTGACAATGCAATTCAGCACTATTCAGCTTGAAACTGATGAATTAATTGAGAAAACTTCAAACTTTAAAAAATATTGAGCTAATTCAGCAACTTCAGCTTAGCTGAATTAAGTTTCAGCTGGTTCAGCCACTAATTGGTGAGGTTATTCAGCTGTAGCTAATTCAGCAAATATTGAGCTGAGTTTTTAAGCCTTTGCTTCAATTAGCAAACCATTTTCCGTATGACGTCATATACTCGTATGAAATCATGTAAATATTGCCATAAATAATACAAAATGTAGGTATTTTTGAAAATAAAAGCCATTCATTATCATTGCATGTCAAAATCAAATAATATTGAATGCAATAAAAAAAGCTGCGACAACAATAAAGTCGGCATGTGCGACTTCTAAGTGTTGCAATCATCAATCAAGCTCTCTTGATAATTTACCAGTCTTGATTATTTTGAGAGTTTGATTATGAGCACATTTAATGCATGTTATTGGAATTTCTATGCTCTAGATAATGTTAATGAAAAACAAATAATAGAATATTTTATGAACAAAATGTTATACTTTAATTAATACTTACCCACGTAACCAAAATCCCATAAATGGACGATATATGTAATACACGAAAATCTTCCATGTAAAGTCCATACGTATCATCCATGGATAATCCATGGAATGATATTGTCCTATGAAGATGGACGATATTTGGGAAGATATTGAGTATTACTTCTGTATTACATTGAAGTATAACATATGTAGTACATTTATGTATCACTTATGGATCACTTCTCACGTAACCAAAATCCCTTAGATGGATAATACATGTAATACATGTATATAGTACATGCGGATCATCCATGTATGAAACATGGAAGAATTTAGGGACGTTCCATGTATAGTACATTGATGTAATACATTTGTATTATTTTGTGTATTAAAAATGGATTGAAAAGCCTGAAATAAAAAATGCTGGATTTTCATTAATTAATGCACATATTTATAATTATAGTTTAACTTATTTATGTTAAACACTTTATTTATTAAAAAATTACATAATTTAATACTCACAATCAAAAAGGCCAATTTACACATGAAAAAAACTTATCACTTAACTCAAATTATAATTAATTACCTGAAAAATTGTAAATTTTTACTAAATTATACCTGAAAAGAGACAGAAAAGAGAAACAAGAAAGACAATGATTAAAATAATAGATGTTTAAAATGAGCCTTTCCACGCGAAAATGAGACTCGGTATTTTTTTGGTTTTGGCTTAGTAAAACCATAAATAATGGTCCATACTATAATATGTTATATATTTTTGGAAAGCTCTCGAGTTAAGCTTTCAATGTGGGTGAAGAAAAATTAATTATATTATCAAGGGTTGGAAACTTTTAGGTTTGAAACTGTCGTTCAACATACATTTTTGCGCGACACGCTGTGCTTTACTCTTTAAAGCAAACAGGATTATTTTAATTGAATTAGATTAAGTAAATAAGGTATTAATGCAAAAAGGAAAGTTTTTCAAATTATTTTGCTTGGTTTTATTTTTATGAGCTATCAAACGTTGGGAATTTTTCTGTTCTTTTTTTATAAAAATGCTTATATCTTGTCCAAACATTCGAATTAATCGATGATTTAAACGCTGTTTATCTAATTTTTTTCATACTTTAAATTTAAGCTCAAAACTACTTCCAAGGGGTGGAAACTTTTGTAAAAAAAAGTTATCAACCCTTGAATTTTTTCTTTTTTTTCTTTTTAAACTATTAATTAAAATTGTTATTAAATATAATGAACCTAGAATAACATAGTTTTTATTAAAACTAATAGAAAAACATAAAAACTTAAAAAAAATTAATGCATAAATGATTTTTCATGGTTTTTCTTGGAATCTGTATCAAAATCGTCTTTTTATATCTCAGTATCTCATTGTCATTAATTATTAATGAATCAGAAACGGAATCAGAGTATGAAAAGACGATTTTGATACAGATTCCAAGAAAAACCATGAAAAATCATTTATGCATTAATTTTTTTTAAGTTTTTATGTTTTTCTATTAGTTTTAATAAAAACTATGTTATTCTAGGTTCATTATATTTAATAACAATTTTAATTAATAGTTTAAAAAGAAAAAAAAGAAAAAATTCAAGGGTTGATAACTTTTTTTTACAAAAGTTTCCACCCCTTGGAAGTAGTTTTGAGCTTAAATTTAAAGTATGAAAAAAATTAGATAAACAGCGTTTAAATCATCGATTAATTCGAATGTTTGGACAAGACATAAGCATTTTTATAAAAAAAGAACAGAAAAATTCCCAAGGTTTGATAGCTCATAAAAATAAAACCAAGCAAAATAATTTGAAAAACTTTCCTTTTTGCATTAATACCTTATTTACTTAATCTAATTCAATTAAAATAATCCTGTTTGCTTTAAAGAGTAAAGCACAGCGTGTCGCGCAAAAATGTATGTTGATCGACAGTTTCAAACCTGAAAGTTTCCAACCCTTGATAATATAATTAATTTTTCTTCACCCACATTGAAAGCTTAACTCGAGAGCTTTCCAAAAATATATAACATATTATAGTATGGACCATTATTTATGGTTTTACTAAGCCAAAACCAAAAAAATACCGAGTCTCATTTTCGCGTGGAAAGGCTCAAATATCGTAGACATTTTATACTTTAAAATTATTATTTTCTCTTACCTTATTAATCGATTTTCTACTATATTTCCTATAATTACTCACCAAACAACATTTCTTGCTCCTTTTAATTATTTCCGCTTCTAAACTGTTCGTTTAATTATATTTTCACTTCACAACAATTTTTCAAAACACATTTTTCACAATGTAAACAAACAATTTTAAAAAATAAAATACAGCAAAAATGTTCTTAATTGTCTGAATGGCCAGATTTTTAAAGTGCTACATAAATGTATTACTCATGGACTAAACATGGATATTCCATGTATGTAATACATAAATTATACATAATGTACTGTTTCGGGGAAAGTACATAAATATTCCATCTATGTCAATGGAAAATGTGTGGAATACTTTGGTTACGTGGGTAATAACTTATTTATGGATGAGAAAAAGCATGATTACAATTGCTGGATTTCTTAGTCAGGATGACATATAAAAATTAAATAAGCAAAAAAATATATTATTTAAAGGAATATATTGCACAATATTATAAGAAAATATGGAGAAGTTGCGTAGAATTACAAGATGACATTTGAAGACAAAATGGAAAAGCTATGTACTTCCATTATGGAAGTGTATTACACAAATTGAATTTTACGTGAAATGTTACATACTTTCTTATGCACGATGAAGAAATATTTTAATATAAAAAATAGCTGTACCTATATGTTTATCAAAGAGGCATTAATGTGTAAACCAAAAAAAAAAACTTAAAATTACAAAAAAATGATCAAAAATTCCCTTATCTTTTGGTTTTCATGTTTTCTTGTCAATTTATCTCATTACATTTTTATTTTTTTATCACAAAAGAGGAACATATTCTATTAATAATCTTCTATAAGACTACAGTCTAGTGGGAGAGCTTGACAAATATTTGAAAAATGGCATTTCTTCTTCGCGTGGTTGTAGTTATTGTCCTACTGAGATCTCTCTACGATGTCAATGGTAAATAATTAGCAAACTTTTCATCCACGACAGATGTCATGCTAATACGCCCTAAAGTTGTGAGATTTAATCAATTGCTTGGAAAATAATGTATTAAAGATCGTAGAGTTGTTGCTGTGAAGAGCAAAAATTAACTGGAGTTGACAATTGATTTAATATGCTGATGCGCACGTTCTAGTGATTAAAATTACGCTCAATCAAATGAAAAAGCTCAGATTTACTTACTTGACAGGATTTTCTTGCATAAAATTTCATATTATAATTGAAAGTTCAAAAAATTACATTTACAAACTTATTAAAGTGCGAAATCGATTCTAGTGACTCAAATAACACACAGTTATTTACTGTAAACTTATTAGAATGTTTCAAAAACTATTACGGTAAACCATGTTGAAATTTGTGAAATGTTGAAATTTGTGCGATCAAATGAAATGTAAATCATCTAAACTAAACCATTTGTAGAAAAAATTTGTATGCAGTTCTTTGTAAAGCAGTTATTAAAACGTTTCTACTTCATTTTGGATTGTGTTGAAGGTTCTTATAGCTTTAAATTTCAATTATTCAAAATCCTATACAAAATGAAAGTTTTCATCTTATTAATTATTTAGACTCAACTAATGATTCATCTTACCCCATCAGAGTTGAAAACAAATTTTCTTTATTGCTTTTTCGATTAAAAAAGTTTCTGCGTACGAAAAGTCATTGGAAGTCCTTCAAAAATTGATTTTAAAATGAGTTGTTTTCAAATGTTGAAATTTGTTCGAAATATTTTGACAAATTTTGAAATTTTCCGCACAAATTTCAACATTTGACCAAAAATGTCAAATTTCTCTTCCTATAAGCAGCATAACCATCACTAGGTATAAAAAAATGAAAATTCCAACAATTTTTGATAATTTAAGACCAACAGTAAATTTTTACAGTAAGGCATTAAAAAGTTATAGGCAAATGAAATCTTCAAGTGCAAAAACACACAAATTTCAACATGGTTTACCCCAAATCAAGGAAATAAATAAAAATTATTAAAACTTTAATGTGAACAATAAAGCGCTGAATTATGCTGAATTCATAAAATTCAAATAATTTTCCGTTGAAATTTTTAAAAAATAATACTTTAACAATATAAATCAATTTCTATCTCTGAGTACAACTCCACAAATTCAAGGTCACCCGATTTGATCTCAAACATGCAAAACATATGAACACGAACGACACTGATACCTTATCTGCTCTTATCTGCTTTAATTTGAATGAAAGATCCAATAAAATTTCATGCATTTCTATCAAAAAAATAACTTTGTCATGCAAATCAAAAGCCAATTTTACATTCAAATCCCGCTAGCGATGACGACTGATTCTATCGAAATATAAAAAATTCCTCTTATTCTTATTTATTTCTGCACATAGAGTAATTAGCATACACTTGGAATATTTAACATGATTCTCCCTCTCTTTTCTACTTCCATTGCTTTCAAGTGTAAACATTTTTTATTATTTTGCTCTCAAAACTTTCTCATGAAATTGATTATGTTGATTTTCTAAGTAGCGGCTGTATATTTGGAAAGGCTAGTCATGATTTTGTTATAGATTACTATTTAACTGACAATATAAGTTGACCTATAATGCACGCTTTGCTCTATTTATTAAAAATTTCTAATTTACTTTACTCTTTTTTTTGGGAATTAAAAGCTATTAATTTACACGTTTCAATCACCTATAGTATGACAGCTTTTAGGTATTTTGCGTGAAATTTTATTAATAAATATGACAAATTGTCATTCCAGACAGTAAATAAATTATGTAAAGAATGTTCAAAAATTTTATCCTATTTTAATTAATGTATCTTGAAAAAAAAATTATATAAAAGTATGAAATTATTGGTCTCAGAGTTATGTACGAGTTTATTCTTGTATTTATAAAAGATAACAAATAAAAGAATGGGATGAAAATTAAGCTTTGTTTTATTATTAATCCATTCATTAATCACCTAATCACGTTCATAAATCATTAACAAATTTATGGGTGGTGTTTGTTTTTACTCACATTAAGTCTAATTCATTTAAATCATAACAAAAGACTTTATAATATGGTGTTGGTAGCAGGGCTATAAACTAGCAATAAGATTGAATTCTGTCTCAGGTTTGGAGAAGTTCACTTATTTCGTAACCCAACTTCTTGATTTTTTGAACCTACCCCCTTCCACTTTCCCCAGTTTCTAATTACAAACGCAATAAGTGAACGATCCACAGAATCACAGAACCATTTGCTTACAGCTGTGATTCAACCTGTGACAAGATAACAGCTGTTTTAAACTAAGAATCTTTCATTGCCTAGTTGATATTAAGCTTCAAAAAATATCAAATCAGTCAGTTCAGCATTTAATTTTGTGTCCCAATCAAATCAATTACAGACAATCATTTGCGAATTAAGAGAAAAACAGTTCGAGTCGGTGCTGATGAATATGGATTTATTTTTAAGACAGAATTTAAGCATCACAATCATACGGAGATGGAGAATTTCCTAAAGGAGATGCACGAGACATACCCAAAGCTTACAAGACTTTACTCGATTGGAAAAAGTGTTGAGAATCGTGACTTGTGGGTGTTTGAGATCTCGACAAATCCAGGCGTTCATGTACCTTTAAATCCTGAATTTAAATACATCGCAAATATGCATGGAAATGAAGCTGTCGGAAGGGAATTGCTTTTACTCTTGATCAAATATTTATGTGAAAATTATGGACCGAACAAGCGCATAACGGATTTGGTAAGGATGCTTATGTTTGTGTTCACGTGTAGGTGTGGATGTTTATTTTTGGAATCAATTTTCATTTCACTAGATTGATAAGACGAGAATCCATATAATGCCAACAATGAACCCCGATGGCTATGAAATCTCAAAAGTTGGCGATGAAGGTGGATTGGTAGGAAGAAGTAATGCGCATAATGTCGATTTAAATCGAAACTTTCCCGATCAATATGGTGCGAATGAATACAACAAGTTTCAAGAACCAGAAGTTTTAGCAGTCATGAATTGGTCACTTGCTAATCATTTCGTATTGTCTGCAAATTTACATGGCGGTGCCTTAGTTGCTAATTATCCATTTGACGATTCAGCAAAAGACTTTTTATCTGATCCAGATCCGAAAACTGAAATGAATCCAACTGAGGAGAATGACATTTTCAAATATCTCGCAAGTACTTATGCAACTGTAAGTCTATGAATATTTTATAAGGCTTCGACAGAATTAAATAACTTTTGTTTTCATGCGTAGGCACATCGAACAATGTATCAAGGCAATCCATGTCCTTCATTTATTAGAGAAAGTTTCCCTGAAGGAATTACAAATGGTGCTGATTGGTATCCAGGTAAGAAGTACTTTAGGGCTATTTATCGTTGATAACTAGATGTAGAATCAAGTCATTAATAGAACCTACATCCAGTTATTAACCAGACACCATGTCTGATGTACCACTCGAGTTTCTAATCTAGTCAATTCCAATTCTAACCAAAATAATCATTCTCAACAGTTACGGGAGGCATGCAAGACTGGTCATACTTAAAAGGAGGCACCTATGAATTAACACTTGAAGTTGGATGTTACAAATTCCCACAAGAACAAGAACTGAGTAAATACTGGATGGATAATAGGGAAGCAATGATCAAATATATAGAACAAGTACATATAGGAATAAAGGGCTTCGTACAGAGCTCAATAGGAACTTCGATCAAACATGCAGCTATTTCTGTTAACAATATTCAGCATGTGACTTATACTGGAGACCAAGGAGATTACTATAGACTTTTACTTCCTGGAAAATACAACATTACAGTCACAGCTAAAGGTTATGAACCACAAACATCGGAAATAATAGTTCCAGAAAGTGGAAATCACTCCTTAGTTTATAGCTTCTATCTCATGAGAAATGATCCACAACATTGGTCATCAGCATATGACTTTAGGATACTTGAGAATATTCTTCATACAAAATATCACACGAATCTTGAAATCGAGACAGTTTTTCAAGAATTACAGCGTAAAAACCCATTAATAGCACAAGTTCAAGATATAGAGAATATCCAATACTATAATTCACTTAAAATCACGGACAGCATAGGAGAGACAGAAGAGACAAAAATTCACATTCTCGTACTATCAAGTCTCTTTGAGACATCGCCACTTGGAAGAGAAATGGCAGTCAATCTAGCTCGTCATATTATTGAAGCATATAAAACAAAGGAACCGCTTATGATTGAACTCTTGAAAAATACAGTCATTCATTTTGTGACTGTCAATACAAAGTTTCATAATGTTTATGAACAGTTTCTAGAGAAGAAGAATGTCTGTGATCCACATTTGAATGAAGAGCTTGGTGACAAGCTGCTTAGTGCTGAGTCTGATACTGTCAAGAACATATTCTTTAAACTATTTGAAAAAGATGAAGTCTCACTAGCTTTAACATTTACTGCTGGCGATGACAGCAATGTTCAAGTTTTGAAAGATCGAGAACCTGTCTATGCTGAATTCGCTGCTCTTACGCAATCTCATTTAGGTGCACAGAATCAAATCTGTTCCTCAAATTCGATGCGATTGAATGAAAATGAATCTTTGAGGAAGATTACTAATCTCTTATATCACATGTTTAATCTACCTTTATACACGATAAATCTCTCATGCTGTAAAATGCCATCAGAAAGTGACATTGCTGATGTATGGCGTGAACATATTCAAGGAATCTTAAAGTTCATTAATATGGGACGAACTGGAGTTAAAGGATATGTTAAGGATAAGTATGGAAATCCATTAAGAAATGCACGAGTTAAGGTTAAAGGAAGTGAACGCGAATATAAAGTAACAAAGAATTTAGGATTCTTCCATGTTGTCATTCCGCAAGGCAGTTCCCAACTTGAAGTTATGTGCGATAATTTCACGACCCGAGTAATTAGTGTCAATTATGGCGAGGATGTTGTAGACTTAAAGGAAATTGTCTTGGAATCAGACACATCTGGAAAGTCTCAAAAACATTATGAAGTTTCTGGGTTTGTTGTTAATGATAAAGGAACTCCAATCGTGGCTGCAGAAATCGGAATTAAAGGAAATTGGAGGAAGCAGGCATACACAAATGCATTAGGAGAATTCGATATGAGTGATATTAATGAAGACAATCCAACATTGACAGTTAATGCTCAAGGATATAAGAAAAGTGAGAAACTTGTTGCTATGAATCTAGTTGGAACCACCAAAAATGTCATATTTAAGCTACAGGAAAATGAAGATGACATGGGGTTGTCCAATCTACTCTTCATCTTCTTTATTTGTATTACAATTCTATTTTCGGTTGTATGCGTCACGTGCTGTGCAATTAATGGATGTAATTACAAATGTGGATGTTGTGGGGATGGAACGAAAGGACGTATAATGAACAATTATAAATTTTCATTGTTAACAAGAAAGAAGCAGAAAAATGAGCTATTTGCGGACGATGTTTATGGCGATGACAGTGAAGAGGAAGAAGAACTGTTTAATCCAATGAAATCGAGAGGTACTTGACATAATTTTTGGTCGTTTAAAAATAAAATTCTAATAATATTATGCCTAACATTTCAGAGCCAACAATAAAACAATACCGAGACAATTTTTCGGACAATGATGATTTAAGTGACGATGAGGATGATTTAGTAGTCCTACCAAGTCGATCAATGCAAATAGAATGAAACGAATCGAACAAATATTGCACATATTCTATGGTTGTGAGACTGTGAACTCGAATTAGTTGTTAATAATATTAACATTTTTACTATTTAAAGACTTGATGCATTAAAGCTTGACACATTTTTAACAACGCAACTTTTTCGAATGCATTCCACATCACTAAGTTAGCAAATTTATAATTATTAATATTATTTTGTACTGTTGATTTCTAAATAAATTAATGATATTTTTAAATTATAAAAACCAATATTAAATATATTTTAAAAATATAACGGTCACAAAATATTTGAAAAATAACAGTCATAAAAAGATCCTATTAAAATAACGAATTTCAAAAATTCAAAACTTCATTTTCACGATTTTTCTTTTCTTGGTATAATTTTCAAATTTTTAAAAACCGTTTGCTTCAAACATTACAAATTTTGAAAAATATGAACAACTAGTGTATCGGGTAGAAACCCAATGCGGATATATTCACACCGTACCATCAAAAGTCTTCACACTTATTTGAACCACATTTTCTCGTAAATGTTAGAATATTATTAAAAAGTAATTAATCCTGAATTATGTCGCTATTTTGTCAAGTGTTTTAAGATAAAGAATTTGTTTTTTGGTTTCCACAGTGAAGAGTATGAACAAAATTCAGTAGGGTAGTCGAAATTTTAGATTTCGATTTTTTTTAAGCTATGCATTACAAAAAGTAATATTGGTATGTGATTTATGTCAGAATTATGTCAATTCAAATAAAACATCCAAAAAATTTTTTTGACAAAAGGACACCATAGAAAATCAATTTTCAATTTTGGACTAGGGGCGACTCTAGTCAAAATCAATTTTCTCAATTTTTTCTTCGAAAGTTTATCCAAATGGATTGAAACTTTGCATAAATGTTCTAGTGCTTAAAACAAATACAAATAAAACATCATAAAAATTTTTTTGAGCTAAGAACCAAGTAGGAAATACATTTTCAATTTTGGACTAGGGGCGACCCTAGTCAAATTTAATTTTGTCACTTTTTTCTTCGAGGGTTTATCCAAATGGATTGAAACTTTGCATAAATATTCTAGTGCTTAAAAAAAATACAAATAAAACATCCAAAAATTTTTTTGAGCTAAGAACCAAGTAGGAAATACATTTTCAATTTTGGACTATGGGCGACCCTAGTCAAAATCAATTTTGTCACTTTTTTCTTCGAGGGTTTATCCAAATGGATTGAAACTTTGCACAAATGTTCAAGTGCTTAAAACAAATACAAATAAAACATCATAAAAATTTTTTTGAGCTAAGAACCAAGTAGGAAATACATTTTCAATTTTGGACTAGGGGCGACCCTAGTCAAAATTAATTTTGTCACTTTTTTCTTCGAAAGTTTATCCAAATGGATTGAAACTTTGCATAAATGTTCTAGTGCTTAAAACAAATTCAAATAAAACATCATAAAAATTTTTTTGAGCTAAGAACCAAGTAGGAAATACATTTTCAATTTTGGACTAGGGGCGACCCTAGTCAAATTTAATTTTGTCACTTTTTTCTTCGAGGGTTTATCCAAATGGATTGAAACTTTGCATAAATGTTCTAGTGCTTAAAACAAATACAAATAAAACATCATAAAAATTTTTTTGAGCTAAGAACCAAGTAGGAAATACATTTTCAATTTTGGACTAGGGGCGACCCTAGTCAAAATCAATTTTGTCACTTTTTTCTTCGAGGGTTTATCCAAATGGATTGAAACTTTGCACAAATGTTCAAGTGCTTAAAACAAATACAAATAAAACATCTTAAAATTTTTGTGAGCAAAGAACCAAGTAGGAAATACATTTTCAATTTTGGACTAGGGGCGACCCTAGTCAAAATCAATTTTGTCACTTTTTTCTTCGAAAGTTTATCCAAATGGATTGAAACTTTGCATAAATGTTCTAGTGCTTAAAACAAATACAAATAAAACATCATAAATTTTTTTTGAGCAAAGAAACAAGAAGGAAATACATTTTCAATTTTGGAATATGGGCGACCCTAGTCAAAATCAATTTTCTCAATTTTTTCTTCGAAAGTTTATCCAAATGGATTGAAACTTTGCATAAATATTCTAGTGCTTAAAACAATTACAAATAAAACATCCTAAATTTTTTTTGAGCAAAGAAACAAGAAGGAAATACATTTTCAATTTTGGAATATGGGCGACCCTAGTCAAAATCAATTTTCTCAATTTTTTCTTCGAAAGTTTATCCAAATGGATTGAAACTTTGCATAAATATTCTAGTGCTTAAAACAATTACAAATAAAACATCTAAATTTTTTTTGAGCAAAGAAACAAGAAGGAAATACATTTTCAATTTTGAACTAGGGGCGGCCCTAGTCAAAATCAATTTTCTCACTTTTTTCTTCGAGGGTTTATCGAAATGGATTGAAACTTTGCATAAATATTCTAGTGCTTAAAACAAATACAAATAAAACATCCAAAAATTTTTTTGAGCAAAGAACCAAGTAGGAAATACATTTTCAATTTTGGACTAGGGGCGACCCTAGTCAAAACCAATTTTGTCACTTTTTTCTTCGAGGGTTTATACAAATGGATTGAAACTTTGCAAAAATATTCTAGTGATTAAAACAATTACAAATAAAACATCATAAAAATTTTTTTGAGCAAAGAACCATGTAGGAAATACATTTTCAATTTTGGACTAGGGGCGACCCTAGTCAAAATTAATTTTGTCACTTTTTTCTTCGAGGGTTTATCCAAATGGATTGAAACTTTGCATAAATATTCTAGTGCTTAAAACAATTACAAATAAAACATCCTAAAATTTTTTTGAGCAAAGAACCAAGTAGGAAATACATTTTCAATTTTGGACTAGGGGCGACCCTAGTCAAAATCAATTTTCTCACTTTTTTCTTCGAGGGTTTATCCAAATGGATTGAAACTTTGCAAAATTATTCTAGTGCTTAAAACAAATACAAATAAAACATCCAAAAATTTTTTTGAGCAAAGAACCAAGTAGGAAATACATTTTCAATTTTGGGCTAGGGGCGACCCTAGTCAAAATCAATTTTCTCACTTTTTTCTTCGAAGGTTTATCCAAATGGATTGAAACTTTGCATAAATATTCTAGTGCTTAAAACAAATACAAATAAAACATCCAAAAATTTTTTTGAGCAAAGAACCAAGTAGGAAATACATTTTCAATTTTGGACTAGGGGCGACCCTAGTCAAAACCAATTTTGTCACTTTTTTCTTCGAGGGTTTATACAAATGGATTGAAACTTTGCATAAATATTCTAGTGCTTAAAACAATTACAAATAAAACATCCAAAAATTTTTTTGAGCAAAGAACCAAGTAGGAAATACATTTTCAATTTTGGACTAGGGGCGACCCTAGTCAAAATCAATTTTGTCATTGTTTTCTGCCGAATAACTTGCTTGCTTGCTTTCAGAAAGCGTATTTTTCGATTCTCTCAGGAACGCCGCAACCAATTTGAAATCTGTTTTTTGCATTGCAGATGTAAAATTTCAGGCACAAACTTTTCTTCTTTATACATTTATAGCTAAAATGCTTCGTTAACTCACAAAATCCAAAAAACTGATTTTTCAATCTGAACAAAAACAAAACATTCACACGTGAAAACGGTGTGAATATAAAAATTGTATTTTGTACAAAATGATTGAAGAAAAGTTCAAGTAAAATCTTAAAACGAAGAAAAACAGTTTTTTTCTTAAACATCGTTATATTAAAAAGCATTTATAAATTGTTTAAAAATCATAATAATTGTCAAAAATCAATCTTTCTGAAAGAAATCAGTACAAAGTATGAACATTCAATTTATTGAGGATATATTTTATTGTTAAAAAAAAGATGATGATTACAGACAGATTAAAACTTGAATTTCTTATAATCATCCTTTTGTTTTTGCGTAGTTGTTGTGGTCTGTTGACGCTTACGTTTAGACTTTTGTCGTGCAACATGCTCAGCCAACATGTCTGATAAATCTTCCTTCTGTAAATGACTTTGTTGTTCTCTCATTTGCTGCTCATACCTTTGTGCCATTGCTTCATTGTCCATCTCCAATTCATCAGGATTTAATGCTAATTCAACCATTCCTTCGCGTTCAACATGACCAGCAGCTCGACGATTTGCAGCTTGTGCCATAGCAGCACTTCCAGAAATATCATAAACATGAGTTGATGCCATCATACTTCCTGCAATCTTTTCATTACGTTTTTCAGGAATAACATGATACAAAACTGGCGTTTCATTATCTTCCATTTCAGCTTCAATTTTTTTCTTTCTTAATTCAATTGAATCTGGTGTTTCCATGCCTTGGACACTTGTTAAACCCGATGGAGTTTCAAGACCAGGCGTTTGTAATCCAGTGGCATCGATTTGTGGTACTGTTAAATCTTCTTCGCCTTCCTCGTCATCTGATTCCTCAGATTCCTCTTCAGATTCTTCTTCTAGTTCACCCCATAATGTACGATCAATTTCTTCCTCGCCTAATCCACTATCATTATCTAAATTACTTGTTCCAAATACATCACCATATAAAGGCTTGCCATTTTCATCAACTGGTGGTTTTCCCCAGCCTCCTGCATGATAACCAAAGCAACAACCTTCAGGAATTGGTGCATTAAGTCCAGGAATCTTTAAATTTGGATAACTTGGTGGTGGTCCATAACGTTGTTGTGCAATAAGCCATGGAGGTGGTATTTTATGACATGCTGGACCAATTGGCATACCTAAAGCAGTTCTTAATTCCTCACTTAAATCGCCAGGTTTCTTTTCTTTTAATCTTGTCTCAAATTCCTTTCCTTCATAATAAAGATCACCATGAATTGTCATTCTAGGCTTTACTTGCCATTTAAAGAATGCATCATGTAATTTTTGATAATCAATATCAATCTTTCCCATTTTAGGTCTTATTTTTTCACGCATTTTAGCTTTCATTGACTTGGCTTCATCTTTTTCTTGTAATGATGCTCTCATTTCCATAATTCCTGTTTTTTTAATAAATGCAGGCAAATCAAATGGTGGTTTTTCAATTCCTCTCTTTCCTTGTAAATATTTTCTTTTAAAGCACCAATGTCTCGGTACTTGAACTGTATTACGATGAGCTTTTAATTGAATGAGAAGTTTTGGATCTCTGGCTGTAACATCATGCATTTCTACAACATCTGGACGATGGACAATTTGCTTTAATTCAGCGACACTTAAACGTGTCATTTTTTTCAACTTTCTTTTGGATATTCTATCTTTATCGTCAATTTTGTCGTCGGCATCTTCATCATCATCGTCCATTTCTTCATCACTTCCAATTTTTTCAGTTGCTTTCTTTGCCTTTATATCCTCAGCTGTTTGTACAGGCATTGGTGCTTCTTTCGGTTTATTTTCAAGTTTAAAGATTTCAAAAACTCGATAAAACTGACGATACATTGGTGCTAAATCTGCAACTGTAACTTTCTCTGGAACATACTCAATTTCAACATTTTCCTTTGTGCTGCTTTTAGATTTAGACTTTTCAGGTGATTCTGATGTCTCGTTTTGATTTTCTTGATTCTCAATCTGTTCCTCTTTCTTCCTTGCTTCCTCTAATTTTTTTTGACGATTTTCCTTCTTTCGTTTCTTTTTTTTACGATTTTTGTCCTTGCTTTTATTTCCTTTAACAACTGTTTGTGTGTTGTTGTCATCTTCATCACTTCCATCGGCATCAAAATCGTTTAAAAAGTCGACATTTTGAGCAGCAAGAGATTGTTGTTGTTGATTGGATGTTTCTTTTAATTGCGAACTTAATGCAAGTACATCTTCTAATGCTTTTGGCAAAACCAACTCATTTTTCTCTGCCTGATTTGCTGGTTTGTCAATTTTAAGTGACATTAATGGTGGTGGAGGTAATTTTTTCTTTGCTGGATCTTCAACTGGACTATTTGGAGTGTTAGGTATTGGATTTTGAGTCTGTTGAACGATTTTTGGTGGTGGTTGTTGATCAAATCGTGGATAATCATCATCATTCATCCAGCTATTTGATCCTAAACCACTAGATAAGCTTGGAGGAATTCCAGGTGGAGGTGGAAGCATAGGAGGTGGAGGAAATCGATGCATCTGTAAATATTTCATTGAAAAGTAGAACAAAATTGTAAAATTGCAATTTAATGCAATTATTCGGCTATTTTTTAAGCCGCATTTATGTTATTAATGAATATACTTACATCTTGATTGTTCCCATCCATATTGTAGGCTGATTAGTTATAGTTTTCGTGTCTAAAAATTAATTTTCTTATTTAAAACGATTCCTGACGAAATGTGATAAACAAATCGAGATGACTTATAGCGAGTTAAAACGTTTCAGGTCCAGATATATGAAATATTTTGTTATTCAGGTAGCAAGTTTGCATGCTAATCAGTGCTTGATATTTATAGTAAATACGTGAATTGCTATGTATAACTTTATGCTGGATGATTGAAGCGTCAGTGGCAGAATTAGGACTCAATTAATGGAGTTGTTTTATTTTCATTTGAACTCGCTTGTTTTTAAATTTCTTCAAGGGAAATTCAAACTTGTAAAATGCGTTAATGACTATAATGATAATAATCAATTTAAAATTAATTCCTGAATGAACTTCTCTCCGGATACAGTTTCTATATCTAAGACAGCTGTAGAAATAGCTAAAAAGGTCTACGTTTAGCTAATCAAACAACGTACAAAAATTTTAAAATAACGATCAAAAAATATTCATATTTAGTTTAACGAAAAACTTTGTTGACATCAAAAAAATTCTGTGAAATTCTGTGAACTTAATAAAAATTAAATAAGTGTTGAATTATGCCTTCCAAGAAGAATAAAGGTAATCCAAAATCAGATGAACCTTTAAAGCCACTAAGTCATTATGTCAAGGATAGACTGGAACTGACAAAACAGCTGTTTTCGTGTTTAAAGAAAAAACAAATAAAATCAAGACTTCCAGTGAACTTACAGAAAAAGTCAATTGAGCGAATCCAGCAGATATGCTTAGACGAAATTCTTGGAATATCTACAAAAAGATTGTTATCTATAATTAACAACACAATTTGTCCAGATCACACTGATTCCGACGATTCTGACATCGAACATATCTCATTGTCTGAAATTTCATCTGATTCTGATATAGAGGAACACGGTATGTACTATATTTAATTTATTTCTCCATCATCATACTGCACAGCAACAGATTTCTCATTGACTATGATATTATGGTCCAACAAGTATTTCATTCCAATTCTCGTCATTTCCGTAACTTGTTCCTTAAAACTTTTCTCATCGCAATCGATATACAGCATAGGAACAACATTTTTCCGTAATTGAATTCTTTTTGCTATTTTATCATCCTTCGTGAGTGCTATAATGTACCGGTTCTTAATATTCTTTAAAGTGTCTCCTCGTTTTGTGATGCAAATTACTGGTTTAATAAGAAACTTTACAGCCTCATTAGATGCATAGTTTGAGTAGTTGTAGGCATACTTTTTGTTGTCACCTGATTTCTTGTTATATTCAGCATATTTATCTATGTCAGCTGTAATTTTCTTTAATCTTATTTGAGCTTTAATTAATGTTGGAATGCAAGTCACTCTAAGTTCTAAAGAATCACAAACTTCACAGATCTGAATTCCATAACGTGATCCATCAGTTGGGTATTTCGATAATATTGGCTTCCCTAATTTTGATCTTAGTGCTGATAAGAAATTTAAGTCAATTTCCTTACAATCCACATACAGTCCATAAAAGTGCTCATAAATTCTCTCAATCATTGCATTATCTACAGCTTCTTCAATCCTTCCAATCAGCTTGACATCAGTTCTCTTAGTAATCTTCTTTATTGCATGAAAATATTCAGCTTTTTGGACATTAGGAACAATTATAAAGTCGAATTTGTGATTAATTGCAAAGTTACAGTCTCGAATTTCTTGATTAACGGCTACATGTTGACTAAAGTTGATTTGTGGACAGAAAAGCTTTTTGAATGACTTCAACATTCCAGATTTATATACACAGCATGTTACAAAGCTTCCCACTATCTTTACAACATGTAATTCAACCTTAGTTCCAATTTTAATCAAGTCACAAATGCTAAGAAGCTTAATAATATTCTCAAAGTTTGAAATGTAACAGACTTCATTTGTAGAACATGTTTCATATCTCTCATCAGATGTTAGTGTTATTAAGTCACCAGTTTCTAATGTCCACATGCAGTCATTCCTCATGCGTCCAATAATATTTGATTTTCCTCTTATTGTACACATTTTTGTGACTGGAATATTAAATTGTGCCTTTTCTTGATATTTATCGATTGCTTGATCCATTTTTTGGTTCGTACAGACATGATTAAAGTATGTGCCGAAGGTCAAGTTTAAATTGAGAATTCTTACTCCGCTCATTAAGATGTGGACTATATCTGCTACGGTAAATGCTTTGTTTATTGTCGCAATGAGCTTTTGACAAGAAACAGCTTTTTTTTCTTGCATTTTACAATCAATATCTCCACAATAACATGACATTTTGAAATAATTTTCTTTTTATCATCCAAAATTATAGAAAAGTCACCGGAACCAGCAAAAAAATCAACTAGTAATGCCCCTTCAAAGAAAAGTACGAAAATTTAATTAATATCATTAATATTATTATCTATGGTTACTAAATTAATGATTTTAATCTCACAAATATAATAGCCGAAAAGGAGATGACTATGCTGGAATTATTGGAACTACAAGCAAGAGCACGAGCGATTAGATCTCAATTAGCTTTAGAACCAGTCACAAAAATCGAATTGGACGATTCTGACGAAGATGTTGAGATTGAACCGGAATCAACTACAAATTCGTCGTCTAATAGTAAGAATAAAGTAGTTCCAAAACGTGCAGAACCATCAACATCAAATTCAACGAGATCAGAAACGTCAAATTCAAATCATAAGAAACCTACACAGAAATCAAAGACTCCGGAAGTAGCTAAATCAACTGTGAATGACAAAAATGATAAGAGAAGCAAGTCAGACGCTACTAAAACAGACAGCAAAAAGTCTAATTCAAAAAAATCACCAGAGCAGAACAAACGAATTGTAATTTTGAGAGAAAAATCACATGAAAATGTTCCAAGCACATCCAAAACGTCTCTAGAACCAGAGAAGAAAAAGTCATCGCCTGTAAAGTTGAAGAGAAATTTCCGTGGAACAGAACTTGAAGGATATCCATTAAGTACAGTTGCACCACCCCCAATTAAGCACAAAACACCACCAAAAGATGATGAAAATGACAGTCGATCTAGTTCACCAGACGTTGTTGCTATGGAACAAAACATTTCAACGTACTTTATTTCCGATTCCGATGAGGAAGAACAAGCACCAGAACCGCCAGCTAAAAAGAAATCTCCAAGTCCAAAAATAATTGTACAAAGTGTGGAAATAATTCAGCCTATCGAAAATAATGAAGCAGAAAATGTACTAGAAGTTGAACAGCCACAACAGGTTATGGAAACAACAGAATTAGAGAATCAAAACAATTCCGAAAAGCAATTCGAAGAGGAACAAACAATAACAACAGAAGAAATTGAGTCACAGGAAAAAGAAAAAGTTGTGGAATCACCCGAACACGATGACGACGATGTTATTAATATTATGAGTGATACAGAAATAGATATGAATGCTAATTCCGATAAAGAAGAAGAAATACCAAAGCAAAATCAAGAAAGTAACAAAAATGTGCAAGAGTCAGCAGTTGATAGTGACAAGGAAAAGCAGGCATCACAACAAACATCAGATTATGATGACGATGTTGTGGAAATAAACAATTCAGACGATGAAATGCTCGATAGCGACAAACCAAGCGATAGTGACAAGCGAAGTGATAGCGCAAAAAATTCTGAAGAATCTGAGACATGGCAGCAACGATATTTGAGAAGTTCCAATGTTAAGACTGTCCTACAAACAGCAAGTTTAGCATCAAAAGTACGCGGCAAAGCTCTTCAGAATAAAAAATCACAAAATGCAGCCAAAAAAGAGAAGCAAAATGTTACCGAAAAAGGCAAACAACATGAAGATGGGTCAATGGGGCAGTTCCATGAGTCAAAAGATTCAAGCAACTCAAATTTGTAAAGAATATTGTCAAGACTCGAAGTAAGTTAATAAAATATTGTATTATATTTGGACATGATATCAATCAGTAGCTGTTGTTGGTCTAATTTACCGCAATAACTTAAACTACGTTGGTTAGGTCGATTTGTGGCATGTAATAATTAAGAATGTTAAAGGATCGTTCCTAAATGATGTCTGAAGTGACGTCATTAATCAAACATTCTATTTTGGAAGTCAACTCCAAATGACATTTAACGAAAGTATTTTTATCATTCAGAAATGCCATAAACATCCATTAATTTGACACATAGCCTTTGCTGCATTTGTATGTATGCTCTACGTCTTTTTAATAAGCCAAAAAAATAAATGCGAATAAGATATTCCTAGACAAGGAATGAGCTCAAGACTCGATAAAGAGAATAAAATATTGGATTTCATCTTTACTTACTGCAACAGTAACTAATACTTATTGAAAAGTTCTTACTAGGTAAATTGGATTTTTATATGATTTTCGTCATTTGTCAGTAGGTTTTGATGCGAAGGACTTATTTTAATCGTGAGATTAAACAATTGATTAATTTAAATCCAGCGATTTAAATTAATCCAGGATTTTATCCAAGGATTAAACAATAAACCTAATTTTAACACTCCATTATCATATTTTTAAAAAATAAAATAAAATACGAAAAATGAAGAAAGTCAGAAATTTCTTTAAAAACAATTATATTTAAAATGCAATAATTTACTGTGAATCAATTCGAATGATTTTTTATACATTTCAACTCATTAAAAAGTTGTAAAAAGTATAATTTTTACACATGTGAACAGGGTGAGTGATTTAAATCAAAAATCTAAATCTTTTTGCAATGATTTTTAAATGATGTACGAAAGGAATCGGCCATTTACGCAAAAAAATTTTGATTTCAAGAGGTGAATCCTTGATGAAAAAGCAACAAAAAAATTTTTGTGGATGTAAAGGAACTAGGCAGTTCAAGTCCCTATTCTTGCTTATGACTCATTAAACTAATGTACTGTAATAAAAGATATTTAAGTTTTTTAAAGCATTTAAAGCAGAGTAAATCCAGTTATTTATATGCAAGCAGCAAGGCACATAAGATTAAAAATCACAAATTGGATTTCGTTTAAGTCAAACCATTGCTGTAACCATTATTTAAGAAATGCTTGGATCTAAAAGATCCAGTTGCAAGATTCAGGCCAAAAAAGAATCAACTGCATTCTTACTTATTAGGAACTGCAACTGAAAACTGTTGATTTGAAAAATAATTTGAGAAATTGAAAACAAAAATCTTACATGCAGGGAATTTAAAATCCCAATAAAATCTTTCATACAAGAGATTTAAATCAAAACCCCAAAAAAAATCCCTTTGAAAAAATGATTTAAATCAAAATTCTTTTTAAAAATCATTTCAAAGAGATTTTGATTTTGATTTTTGATTTTAATCACCCTGGTTTAGGGTGACCATCTGCGTAGTTTTACAACGGACAGTCCTGTATTTTAAAACCAATTTATTATTATAAATTGATTATTAATTTTCAAATTTTCCTTTGTGTATTTTTTTTGGAAATTTATCAAATCTCCTGTATTTTCATAAAAATTTGATGCTCACCCTACCCTGGTTATAAGGGAAAAAATTGATATATCAAGCTTATTTCGTTCTTTAAATTCAAACAAATAAATTTTTTAATATTAAATTAATATTTCTTCTCTACTAACCCATGAAAAATTTTTTAAATGTTCTATACAATTATTTCATACTTACAATCCTCATATGGAAAGGATTGTAAAAATTACAATCCCTAAAATCCTTTCCATATAAGGATTGTACGGATTACAATCCTCATATAAAGATTGTAAGGATTGTACAATCTTTACAATTCTTCCATATGGATTGTGAAGTATTGTACAATCTTTACAATCAAATTCAAACTTTAATACTTAATCTTTTCCATCGAATTTGACGAATCCACTAAACTAATAAATTTATTTTAATTCTTACTTTGTTGTTCATCTCCACATCGCATACAAATCCGACTTACGAACCTTAAACAGCTGTAAAAAAATATTTTTTCTCTCTTATTAAAAAAGGCTTCAGTATTAGCTCAACGATCATTCTAGTCGGACGAAGAAAATTAAGAATCGCGAAGTGAGGTGAAAAACTCAGTTGCGGACTAAAATAACTGCTTATTAAAATAAAAATGTAAGGAAAAGTTCATGGATATACTCAAGATAAAGTGATAAAAAATTATTGTCACTTTTAACGACTTTAGAGTTCTTTGACAGTTATTAAGAATCATATCTAAGTGCTCAAGAAGATTAAAATAATTAAAAATAATGAGAGTAGCCAATCAGCCTTCATGTTATGACACTAGAAAAAATTCTTTTAATTGTGTAACATCAGTAATTAAGTGGGATTATTATTATTGGCAATTTGAGACCAAGATTTGAGACTTAAATGTGTGTTACTGAAAAGTTGTCAGTTAAATTTTCAAATTTTTGACAGCTGTTATTTTTTAAATTCCAAATCACAGTTATTTTTTTTAAACTTTTAATGCCCGTTTTTTTTTCAAACATAAAAATTCAGCTTCCTATGGCTTCAACCTTGCCTTAATTGCAATTAAACAAATCAATCAAATCCTTCAATAAGCGACAAAAATGTTCTGACTTTATGTATTAATGAAGAAATGCTTAAAATGTGACAGTCACTCCAAGGCCTTCAACAAATCTATCTACAATCAGAACAGTTAAGCAAGCAGCGAAATGTATAAATAGCTAGAAAATATGGAAATAATATATATCTTTCTCAAATCCTGCATGCTTATTAATTTGACCTTAGCAAATTCTTGATTTCAACTTTATATTATTTTATTTTACACAAGACAAAGCCACAAACATGAGCAAGTACATGAAATTTATTCAAATCGCGAGCAATTGGGTCACAATATTTTTAATTGCATTGAGTATTTTTTGTGAGAAGTTATCTTGCAGCACGCCAAAAAAAAGCATTGAGAATCCAATAACATCAATAAATAATAATAATATGAAAAGATTTAAATGCTAGAGATAGCATGAAGCGTGTGTTAGGTCATAATCACTACTGGCTATAGCAATTTAAGTATTTATTGAGTCAGCATGCTTAAAAGTTCTCGAAATGCTGGTTATAAAATATTTTAAACTACTTGTTGGACCTATTAATTAATTGTAGACATTTACTGCATGTCTGCAATGCGTAAGGCTTAACACAATTATACGGAACTGGAATTATTCACATTTGACTGACAATTTGTATTTTGGGAATTAGCATGAAGCTGATTCATAGAAGGGAAATATTGTTTGTAATCAGGTTTTTCTGGTCGTTTAATTGAACATTGACTGGATATACTTCAGACTTTTTGTTAAATGATACTTCAACAAATAGGAAAGATGAAAACTGTTGGTATAGGTCAGATGTGGTAAGAGCAAACAATCTCTTGAATTCGATCTCCTAGATCACAGCTGACTTTTCTTTACTGTTCAGACATTACTCTCCCTGAATAAGCTTTAAGAATCAAAACAATTCTATTGTTAGATCTGATACCTTCCCTAATATACAATGTGACTATTTTTATACCTTTAAAAAATGCACAAATATCCAATAAGCCTATGCATTGTAATAGATAATGATAAATGATTGCCGCTCGATTCAATTATATGATTAACAGAATTTTAAATATACATCTGGAAAGTCGTGATTATACTTTTTATAGAATACATTAGCATAATATGTTAATTCAGTGCACATTTTCACAATAAATGTCAAATAATGAGATAATAATTTTATACTGAAAAAAAATTCTCAATTTTTTATATTATTGGAAATAAAAAACGCTTGGGAGGCTCATAAATAGCACTCTGTGGACATAAAGAATATTTGATACATCAATGAGAACTGCTGTTAAAAAGATCAGGAATGAGAATAATTGAATCATTTAGAAATATTTTACGACACCTGTTCACAATTGCTGCTACTTTTTAAATTTTATTATTTTTTTTCAACAATTCAGTGCAATTTTATAAGTCGCTAATTATCATTGAGAATAAATTAATAATAACTGGTATATTTGCTTAATCATTAACTGCAACTAGGATCTTATAAATTGAAAAGTAATAACTGTAATGAATTTCCGCTAGTTAAGACCTCAGTCAAGTCTGTTTATGTCTGATTGTAATCGACCCTTCAAAATCAATAAATCATGCTAGACGTCAGTTTTCGCGTTGAAATTGTGGGTCATTTATAAATTACGTCTATTTTTTGCTGAATTATTTATTAAATTTTTATTGAATAACCGTTAAAAGTTTTAAAATTCAACTGTCAAAAAAATTTTGAAATGTCTTTTCACAAAACATTGTTTAAAGTTTTTTGAACAAAGTTAATCAGAAGCCTGCCTGCCTAGAAGTCACTACTAAACTATCCCTAATTCATTCAGATTATTCTATTATTCATGAGATATCTCAATTCGCGCGCGACTTAATATGGGTTAAATCCGTGTATCCAACAATAAAAAATATTCTGGCTTGCAAAACAAATTTACTGGACCTGCCTTAGTATGACCTTCACAGGTTGATTAATACATACAAGACATATTTGTTTGTGCTGGATTGAGAAAGAGAATAATAAAAGAGAATGAATTGGTTTAATAGGGAATAATTCAAATAAATGCTTAATGGACAGCATTCTTCATATGAATCACGTGATGCAATTTGGGATTTTCCAGACTATATTCATCGGTTACTTACAAATCTACCGGTTTACAATTTTCCCCGAAACCAAAACAGGTTGAATGAACTTTAAACATTTTTTTTATGAATGAGTAAAGATTATTAAGCTTAATAGCTGCTTGATCTTGAAAATTTTGTACTGCATGCAAGGCTCTTCAATTATGCAAATTGCTCTTATGAAGCTTGTTTGTCAGCTACTGAGGTGATAATTAATTTAATTAAGGAAAAACACACATCTGTCATCGCATTTTGCTAATTATCTCGCACATTTCATCGGAACTAATGGAAGTACTAGTGAAATTTATTATGAGTAAACGTCGATTGTTTGATGGACTTAGTTTTAAATCTGAGAATTAACTTTAAATCTTTTTATTTAAACCTTAATCGTCAGATTTACTTTAAAATCTCGAGATTTAATTTTAAATTCCAAAATTCAATTGTAATGCATGTCTTCAAACCTGTTGAAATAAAAAGAAAAAAAACCCAAAAATATTATTTTCTTCAGCTTACCTCAATCATACCTTTTTCATTTCAGTTTTATTTGTCGTCCGAAGATGATTGGTCTGGGTGATAAGTTTGAAGGCCTGAAAAAGGCATACATATTAGGAATTTTAACAGTTTGCTATATTGTCGGTGAACTAGGACATTATCTGATAGGTGTTACATCTAGAGCAACAGCTCGTGAGGTAATTAAAAAATATATTATTAATTGAGAATAATCAAGGAAATGCTGAAAAACTGGATAATAAATAGATTAGTTATGGCGATCATGCTTGTCAATTAAATGATACAACTTTGGGAAAAGATGATATGCCAGAGCAGTGTGAGGATATCTCGTGAGTATTTTGATTTTTGTTGCATATTTCTGAGCGTGAAGGAAGCTTTAAAAGTGCCGTGAAATTACATTGATTTTAAATGGTATTTTTGGATTTAAAACTTGAACGAAGGGAATTATTTCGTTAAACTAATTTTCAAATCTGAAAAAAGCCGTTAAATACTAAGTGATTTGAATTTTAGAAAATCGTTAAAGTTTGCATACCTTTTTACTTCAATTCATGCTCACCTTACATGGATGTTGCAAGATTTCATAGTTTATGGATAGTCATTCATACATTTCAAAGTTTAACTAGGTATAACACAAAAATGTTTATTGTCAATCTTAAAATTAAAGCATGACAAAAAATTGTGTCCTAAGTCATTCGACACGTGTTAAAACACAGAAATATGTTGCATAAATTACATACAATGCATCATACACTTTACAGTCTAATAATATATCATTTTCCTTAATCCAAGTGATCAACTATCATGTGCAGCAATCAACATTAATGGATCATCATACTGTGAATGGGATTATAACGGCTTAGGTATAATAAAACTGTTATTATTTTCTTGTTATCCTATGATAAATGAAATATGAGTCCCTATTAAAATAACGAATTTCAAAAATTCGAAACTTCATTTTTCCGAAAAATTCTTCATGCAATTTCATATGATTTTCTTTTTAAAAAACCGTACGCTCAACGCTTTTTTAGAATTTGAAAAATATGAAATTGCATGAAGAACTTTTCGGAAAAATGAAGCTTCGTAATTTTAAAATTCGTTATATTAATAGGGACTCGTGTAAATTTATAGGATAAATTTTAAACCGTTTTTAGAATTTTATAAAATGGAAAAAAAAGTCTTTAGATCATAAGTAATGGAATCACTAATGAATTAATTAATTAAATTTATTATAACGCCTTAGGGATTGAATATCAGCTGTTAGCAGGTCCAGTTTTTATTCTTGTCTTTACAATCGTTGGTGTCGTTTTTGGTATTTTGGGTGATAAATACAATAGATCAATGATGCTGTACATGTGTACGTTACTTTTTGGAGTCGCAATTATTCTACAAGGTTCCGTCCAAAACTATTGGCAATTAATTCTGTTGAGAATGGTCATGGCTGCTGGAGAATCTGGATGTAATCCACTAGCAACTGGAATAATGAGTGATATATTCCCAGAAAATAAGCGTGCACTTGTTATGGCTATTTTCAATTGGGGTGTTTATGGTAAGATCCATAAAGACATGCAAAAAAAAATATATTAAAATTTAATTCTAATAAATTAGGTGGCTATGGAATCGCCTTTCCTGTCGGACGATACTTAACAAAATTGAATGTTTGGGACCTTGGATGGAGATTTTGTTACTATGTGACGGGAGTTGTTGCTATATTAATTGGAGTTTTAATGGGAGTGACTCTAAAGGAACCAGAACGTAAAGCAATTGGTGGGAATGCAGCAAATCAGAACAAAAAGGTTTCATTATGGAAAGAACTTCTACGCTGTGACATAATCATGCTTATGATTGCTGCTTCCGTTCGTCATTGTGGAGGGATGACTTTTGCCTACAATTCTGATCTGTACTATAATACATATTTCCCAGAAGTTGACCTTGGATGGTGGCTTTTTATTGTAACTATTGGAATTGGATCAATTGGTGTTGTTTTCGGCGGATATGTTAGCGATAAGATTGTTAAGAAAATGGGAATAAGGTCAAGAGTTATGGTCTTGGCTTTATCTCAATTGATCAGCACACCAGGAGCTTTTGGATCTGTTTATTTTGATCCATTCTGGGCTATGATTAGTCTTGCATCATCATACTTCTTTGCTGAGATGTGGTTTGGTATTGTTTTTGCCGTTATAGTCGAGATTGTTCCATTGGAAGTACGATCGAGTATTGTGGGAGTTTTCATGTTCGTCATCAATAATATTGGTGGAAATTTGCCAATTTTAGTCGATCCACTCGCCAAACATATTGGATATAGAGCATCAATCTCAATCTTCTATGCTGGATTTTATTTACTAAGTTCAATTCTATTCTTCATTACAATGTACTTTATGGAAGGCAAGAAGGAAGAAGAGAAGCCGATAGAACCAGTTAATGCTGTTGATCCATCAAATAATGTGTCAAGGGTTCATGTTGGAGTTGACAATAGAAGTTATGTGCCAGATAATATGACAATGCAGCATCTTAGTGGACGAACGGCTGATAAGAATTATTATTAGTATTAAAACTGTAAGTTAAGTGATGTGAGCGTATCCAGTTCGAAATTTTCCCTCAATTATTAAGGGTTTTTAAGTTAAAAATTCCAATTTCCGTTTATAAAAATTATAGAATTGGAAAAAGCTCAACAATCAAGTGATATTAAGGAATCCACAAAAATTCTCATGACAAGATATACTTTTTATTATTGTTGTAGTTTTCTTATATCAAAAAATAAAACTGTGTAAATTTCATAACTCTATAAAAGTAGTGTGTTATGCTTAATTAGACATTAAAAATTAACAGAAGTCAAAGCTTTGAGGTCGTTTCAGCAGTCTGAACTATAAAAATTAAAAAATCAATAGTATTTGATTCGTGACTATTTAACAAGCTAATAAAATGTTATTTCGAGATAAAATAACTTAATTAATTATTATCTAAAGAGATGACGTGTCGCTTAGAGAGTGAAAGTTCCTTATTCTATTTAAATAAATAATTTAAACTAACATGAGAGGATGAAAACCCGTCTAAAGTGAACGATTCTGTTGGATGTAATTCTAAATGAGGATAAATTAGTAGCGGAATTCTTTGATTCACGTCTCATTTAATTCGTGTGTAAAATGAGTATTAGAAAGCGTTTCATACTGACTGCAAATTGATTAATTTTAAAATACTATTTCAGTGTAGCTCGAGCATCATATCAGCAGAAATCAGCAAAGATAGTTCCTTTATGTAAATGAGAAGCTCGTCTTTAAACAGATGTCGAAATAAATCGCACGATTAAAAGTTTAATCCGAGGTTAAAATGTCAAATCACACGATTAAAAATTTAATCCTTGAATATAAACAAAATCAAATCTCAAAACTTCTCGGAACATCCTTATATTACTATTGATGATTCATATAATGCGTCATTTGTCGTTTTCAGAATAAATTAAACTAAATGAGAGTAAAATAGTCTGCATTAGGAACATGTATTCATACTTGAATACACACAGTAAAGTACACAATAAGTGTATGGCTAACTTAAAATCAATGGATCTTCTCTTATCATACAAAAAAAGAACTTAAACTGTAAAATTTTTTAGTCAACTTTTTTTTCTTTCGTTATTTTTTGGTCTCGTTATTACCGTGTTAATGCCATCGCGTTTAAAGGTTTTCAATGGTTAAAAGTTTTGGTGCTCTTTTAGTATCATCACTGGAGAATCACTTTCATCACTTAGATTGAAATTATTCGTGTTTGAATTGACGATATTGAAGATTATTGCAAATATAATGCATGCTAAGTAAATTCCTAATGCAATCCACCATAAAAGTTGTTCGTGAAGTTTTTGTTCGAAATTTTTCAAAACAATAAGGCCAATTGTGAGACCAGCTATTCCACCTGCGATATGAGCCACAAATGAAACTGATGGAAGTGACGTCGAAAACGATGGTTCACTTTCGTATCGTGAATATATTGCAAATCCAACATCACAAGAAGCTAGATATAGGGAAAAGATAGGATTGTTCATTTATTTCCGTACAATTTTTCAAGAAATGCTAATTTTTAATGACATTATTAATGAACTTACCAAACAAAAGAATCGCTAGTAATCTATAAATGCCGTACTCCATATTACTATAATTCAACATGATATTGGCAAGATGAGCAGCGAGTAAGGCATAAACTCCGCCACTGGATCCCACTAAATAAGCATTTGAATCAAAAATTGAAGTTCCTAGAGAACCAGCTAAAACGCCTACATTCAAAATGGCATAAAATTAATAATAAATCCACAAGAGACAATAAAAATCAATATAATATCGATATGACTTACCAGATAAATATATACATGCTATTCTACTAGATCCGTGGACCATTTCGAGTGGTATGCCAATTAAAACTTGCACAATTAAGTTGAATGATAAATGGAACCAGCCAGCATGAAGAAGCATGTAAAGTAAAAACCTCCAAACTTCATGCTTTTTATCAGGTCGATAGATGAAAATTGAGTCAATAGGAACACTTGAATTCGTTTGATTAGTAATGAGATGATAAAAGAAGAATATCACTTCGATTGTTGAAACCAGCATGATAAAATAAGGAGGTGGCCAGCACTTGAACGTGTCTGTATAGTATTTTCGATCACGATGATGTGGAATCATCTTTATTGCAATACTTTCTATCATTCTGTGAATCAATTGTGAATGGAACTAATTCGATGTAAATTTGAGTGCTTGTCTACTTACTTTTTGAGGAACGGCTTCTCTTTAGTCACAACATGAAAGTCATTGATTGAGTAAATTTCCCTATCTCGTTCATGTGTAGCACATTTGAAGCTAAATGAGCGACTGGATCTCATTGTAGAGCTTGTAATTAGAGTCATAACTATACAAGATGAATTATATAAAAGAGATGAGCATGAGAGGATGGCAAATGAAAAAGTATAAGATGTATAATTTAGTGCAAAACAATTAACGCAATTGTTTTCATATTTTCGACTGTAGAAATTACTGTTATATTACACCTTCTTCGAGATCATGATAATATAGAGAGCGGATGTATGATTCATGACTTGAAAAGCAAAGATTTTCGCAAAATTACCTTATTACTAATGAATTATTTTCCTTAATTCACTTAACTGCACATTTCTAACTGAATATGTGGACACATTTGTATGGGTGAGATGCAATTTCAATTACTAAATGAAGCTGTATAATATAATTAATTAAATGCACTAATGTTCACTCGCTAATTCAATTTTTTTGAATTTTTCGATTATATTTACTTTATTTTTTTTATCCAACGTTTATGATGTGTCTTGTTATCCAAGAAAAATTATCTTATAAATTACTATTTCGTTGCTGATTGCAACTTGACTTGATTGATAGGATATTCATTTTAGAGTTGAAAATTGTACAAGAACTTATGTATTAATTAATCCTTTAAAATTGTTCCAAAACTGAATTTTAATAACGTTTTTCAAAATTTTGAATTTTTTTGACTTTCAGGTTTTTTAAAAATCCAAGAAACTCATTTAGTCTACATTCTCAAGTCCTGGCAATTATCAGGTATTATATAAAGCCATTAAATTAAAAGTTTAAGATGCAAAGGTTGAGCAAAAGTCTCCAAAATAAAAAATACATTAACGTACCTGAAAAGTTTGAACGGATTGTAAACAACTCTGCAAATCTTTGAAAAATTAAAATTTACAAACTAAAGCTGCATCATTAGTTATTATAATTTCTAAATAGTAATATACAGTGCAGCATAAAGTCATAATGGGAGATAACGTGGAGAGCGATCTTCTATACGAGGATTTTCAGAATGAAGACCAAAAGGATTTTAATAATGTAAGTTTATAATTTTCGCTAGTTTTTGCTGACATTTTATAAGACAAAAGATGCTTACAAACTGTTATTCGGCATTTATTCCTACCATTTATCATGAATAATTAACGATAAACAGTAGATAATGCTTAAATAAGCAGATTTTGATATTATAAGCATAACCTGAAACTGATAACTGTAAACTTTATTTACGTCCATTTTCGATATTTACAGGATAACTATGGACAAGAAGATGATTTGTATGATGACGTTTTAACATCCGGATCTAATAATTTAAACAATAGTGATAATAATGTATCATCAGATCATGCAGAAACGGAAACTAATGGGAATTATCAAGGAGGAATGCATAGTATGGCAAGAAGATTTCAATTGTATATAGGAAATCTCACTTGGTGGACAACAGATCAAGATATTGGAGATGCAGTTGTTGGAACTGGCGTCAGTGACTTTCAGGAAGTCAAATTCTTTGAAAATCGAGCAAATGGTCAATCAAAAGGGTTTTGTGTAATTACGCTTGGTTCTGAAGGTAGCATGAGAATAGTCATGGAGAATCTTCCAAAGAAGGAATTGAATGGACAGACTCCAATCGTAACATTACCGACAAAACAAGCATTAAATCAGTTTGAAAGTCAACAAAAAACACGTCCTACACCGCCAGTTCCACCGAATGGTCAAAAACCAATGCAAGGCAATCCTATGGGCATGAATCCAAACATCCCACCGCAAGGTAACAATATGCATCCAAGAATGATGAATCCAATGATGCGTGGACCAATGCCAATGCAAAATAATCCAATGCCGATGAGAATGGGTAATCCTAATGTTCCACCGCCTATGAATCATCCAAATGCTCCTCAAATGAACAATATGCCACCAAGATTCCAGAATAATTGGAATAATGGACATCCTAGACCTGGAAATCCAGGAATGCAAGGTAAGTTCAATCACTTACTAATCAATTGATTATAAAATTTTAATCGCTGGATTTAAAATTAAATCTCGAGATAAAAAAAGAAGTAAACCTTTGTCAATGCATTAAATCACTAATAATCAGTTTGTTGCATAATCGTATTTATATGAGTTTATTGATTGAAAATAATTTAACAATAGGTAATCGACCTCCGCCTGGCATGATGAATCATCAAGGACCACCAGGCATGATGAATCAACAAGGTCCACCAATGATGAATAGACCTCCAATGTCAGGAAATCGTCCTTTTGGACCAAATCGTCAAATGCATCCTGGAAATTTCAATCAAGGTCCTCAAAATATGAATAATATGGGTAATCCAAGAGTTCCTATGAATATGGGAGGCCCTCCAGCTCCACACGTTAATCCAGCATTCTTTAATCAAGGTGTTGGACCTATGCAAGTTTCTCAACAAGGTCCACCTTCCCACTTTAATCCTCAACAAGGTCCAAGACCACAAGGAATGTGGCCACAACAAGGCAATAAAATGCCACCATTTGAAGGACAAAATCAGCCACCTCCAACTGGTCCAGCACAGCCACCAATTAGTGAAGCTGAATTTGAAGAGATTATGGGACGAAATAGGACAGTAAGTAGCTCAGCAATAGCTCGAGCTGTATCGGATGCAGCAGCAGGCGAATATACTAGTGCTATGGAAACATTAGCTACTGCAATTTCACTTATTAAACAGTCAAAAGTTGCAAACGATGAAAGATGTAAGATTCTCATTACATCACTACAAGATACACTACAAGGTATTGAGGCAAAAAGCTACAATCGACGAGAGAGATCAGATCGTTCAAGATCTCGTGAAAGGAGACGACGACGAGAAAGATCTAATTCTAGATCTTATAGACGTTCACGTAGCCGAGAACATCGTGATCATCGTGAAAGAGGAGGTCGAGGGGATGAGTAAGTTATGCAATCTATTGTATTTGTATTTTGTAGATTAGACATACCTATTTTCATTGTCTCTTAGTGACTCTTTATTTCCTCTTAAGCGCAGTCTATCCAAGTATTTTTTTGTATTTTTTAAAAATGATAAGAATGCGCTTTTAGCACTAATTGCTTATTTGCTTTCAAATTGTCATTATTCCCTGTCTTCTTTTATTTTTGCACTCATTAAGTCGGTATTATGGAAGTGAAAACTACCATAGCAGTCGTGAAACTCGCGAACGTTCAAGATCTAGAGATCGAGGCAACGCCGAATCACATTATAGAGGCGGTGAAGAAAGGTAAAGGATTTTTTGGAACTTCCTTTATCTTATTTTTCTCAGTTCATTCATTAAGATTCTTTTTAAGGCCAATTTTGATTGATTTTAAATGTAATTATTGTTCCTTTATTTACAGCAATAGCAGAAGTCGTCCACGCAAATCACCGGAACCTTCAAATGAGTCAACATCCGAGACATTTAAGAGATCATATGAAGATAGGAATCGCGAGGATAGATACAGAGAACGTGATACAAGAAATCGTCATTAAAGGATGCGTAATTAGAAGACTTAAGAATCTATTCGCATATTATTTTATAACCCTGATTGATTAAGGAACAAGGATTAAACATATATGCTCTGCTTAGATGAATGAAACGACTTTAAATTATAAGAAAATAAAAAGTTTCATTAAAATTGGCGATTTTTTTCTATATATTCTAAGGAATGAGGAAGAAGACACAGCCACCGTATATAATCTTTGTGCGTGAATTCATTATTATAATATAATAATTATAAATCACTTTCATTTTTTTGAGAGATAATAAATTTTAAGCAAATAAATTGATCAAAAATAGTTTGTGTTTAGGATCTCAGGACGAATGAATGTACATACTTAGTGTAGATTAAGAAACAAAAGACATTTTTAATTTATTTTTCCTTTTTAAGTCTCTTATTTATTTTATTTTATACAGATTTCTTGCAAGATTTCCTTAATATTGTATATCCAATTGATTTTTAATATTATTTTTTATACACAATTTCATATTTTTTCAATCAAACATAGGGAAAAAAAAATCTATTAAGCTTATTCAATTTTGCAATTAAAATGTTATTTCGAGCTAGATGTCTTTATAAAGTGTGACTCTATATGCTCATTGTCATTAAATCAACTTCATGAAGCCATCCAGCTCGACTTTAAAATTGATATTGAACAAAAGATGTGATAATTTAAACTTATCCATCCGTGAACTTACAGCAACGCTTTGTATAGAAATAAAAATGTGAAAAATTGCAATATCTTCTATTAAAATAACTCAAAATTCATATATGTAAATAAAACTTAGCTTTCACAATTTCTTCTTTGTTGCATAATCCTAAAAACTAAAACAAAAAATCGCTCATAAATTTATAAGGAAAGCTACTTTACATTATGATTTACAATTACACAACTTCTTTCTCTTTCATCGCCAAAAGGAAGATCAAAGTAAAAATTACAAATGTACAAAATAAGAGAAATGATGATATAAAAGTGAGGAATTGATTTCGGATATAGAGTGTTTTGTATTTTCCCGAAAAGCAAAATAACGAAAAACCATTTTTACGAATTTTCAATTTTACTTTAATGCACATTTTTACGAAAACTTTTATAGTAAAAACTTATAGGATAAAATTTGAATCTCAAAAAACCGTTGGATAAAATCAAATATTAAGACAATCAAAACTAATTTCATCATTTAAATGCGATTTGGCATGATTTAATAATTAATAAAATATAAAGGATATAAAAAAAAATATAAAGGAATATAAAGAACTGCAAAAAAGATTTGTATTTATTTGAATGTGAAATATTTTTTCTATAAAAATTTTATTTTGCTATAAATTTTTGTGCATGGAATTACCCATAAAATAAGAAAAAATATTACATATTTAAATAAATGCAAATCTTTTGGTAGTTTGGTTATTAATCCTTCATCTTATAATAATTATTATATCATATCTAATCGCATTTAAATGATGAAATTAATGTTAATTGTCTTTTAATGTTTGATTTAATTAACGGTTTTTTGAGATTCAAATTATATCCTATAAGTTTTTGCCATAAAATTTTTCGTAAAAATGTACATTCGTAAATTTGTAATTCGTAATAACGGTTATTCGTTATTTTGCTTTTCGGGAAAATATAAAATACTCATCAAAAATGTTTCAAATTTTTTTTTGACAATTTTTGAAAATAAACCAACCGTTATAATTCAAATATTTTTTGACAATTTACAAATATTTTTCAGTCGTTACATTACAGATTTTAGAACGAACATTCAACCATTTGTTGTTTACAGATCTATGACCTTGTAACATTCATTTCCATACTTCCTTCATTGCCAAAAAACAATTCCAAATTCCAGGAGAATGTTAACAAAAGCACCAAGAATCTGTGATAAACATTTTAGATGTCTATAGCTATAGTGTAATCATATTTGGCGACTTCATTATTGATCCATTATTATTAATTCGAGGGGGAAAATGGATATCATCTCATATTTACATAATTCTATTATTAATATTTAAATTTTTCAATGTATGTATAATGGAATTCGTTTCCTAAATTTATCAAAAATACGCTATTTAATTTTTTTTATATCCCATTCAACAGCCAATATGATTTTTTTCTTTGTGCCATTTTTTTGTCTGGCTCCAAAAACGATTCCTTTCCTATTCATTCACTTTCAAATTTGTATTCTTAATTTTTTTTTACTTCTTCCATTTTCCCACATATTACTTTAGATGTCCATGATTATTAGAATTTTTTCTTTTATAATTTACATAAAATGAATAATAATAATTTGATAACTAGATAGAGAGATGGAATCACTCGAATAGCCGATATTCTTAGCAAATTTTTGAACTTTTCTGCTTACAAGAACGTTTTTATTGGGATTGGAGTAGCTTTGCGGGTCATTCACTTATTACGTAATGGTTTTGGGAACTCATTTTACGAAAAATTAAGTTATAGCTCTAGACACCTCACTCTGAATTATAGACGTCATAAGAGAAAGATCCTTAACATGGACAATTCAAGAAAAGGCTAGAGACTGAAAAAAAAACCTTTGATTAAATTCCAGATTTAACTTTTATATCCTTCAAGTTTATTTTTAATCCATGGATTAAATATTAATCTTCAGATTAATTTCTCGAAACTGGAGTTTCCCTTAATTCTGAAATCCAACAAATAGGTCTTAAAACCATCACTTTCCAATCAAGCTAAGAATTCCTTCATGTAATTCAAATGGATTGTCCATAAAAAACGAAAATAAATTGCATTAAAAGTTGATAAGCAGCGGATGCAATGATGTTTTTTTATATAGATCTTAATTTCTTTTTTTGGATTATAATTTGCTTACAAACTTGTCATAATACAAACTTATGGTGATTTTTCACAAAATAAAATAAGAGAAAGAACATGTAATTTATTTTACATAATTATATCTTTCAAAACTTTCATGGAAACTTATATGATACATCATATGCGGCATCATTTTAATACTTTTACTAAAAATTAATATTTATTCTTTTTTATATTGTTTCCTCATTTTTTTAATTATGCTTTTTTTTCTTGTATGTAAAAAAATTGTATTTGATTGAAATGGGAATGAGTGTTCATTAGTTCTTGTCCAATTTTTTTATCCATCTTCTTTTGGTGGCGTAAACCATCCTATAAGAAAAAAGAAAAATCAAGTATTAGTCAAGTGTAAAACTACTCGAGCGATAACAAGGAGCTTACCATTTTTCTCATGAATCTGGACCAGAGATTTAAAGCTTTGTTGGGCGCGTGCCAAACTATATTGACCCTGAAATTGATGAAAATTGATTGTATAACAATAGCTTACAAATTGAGTATAAAATAAAAATCATCTATAAATATAAAGGATATATGTCAAGTGTTATGTACCTTTGTAGCTCCGAATTGTATACGCGCTTTTCCTTTCACTAAGGTTGCTGAGATTTGCATAATAAGAGCTTCTACTGTATATGCTGAGCTCCAGCCCTGCTTTGTCAATAATTCCATGCAAATTGCCCCACCGAGTAACACGTAACCACCTTGTTGTATTTATTGTCAGCAAGTCACGAAAAAATAACATCGAGAGAGAGAAAAAAGTAAAAATAAATGTCACGTTGAAATTAAACAATCATTATTTTAATTATAGAAAAATGAATGTAGGGAAATGTGATAAGACAGACCTGATATGATGGGATGAACAACACGAACGAAGGGTGGCTCGAATGGATACGTCTCTTTAAATATGATATTTAGTAGAATGCTATCTTTTCCCTCCTTCTCTTTAAGCATTAGCAAATCATTATGTAGCGGACTATCAGGATCAACAGACATTAAGCGAATGTTCCACTCATAAATTGAGTCATTAACTAGCTCTATTGAGTAGATATTTCGCTTAAATGAATCGGAACGATAAATATCACGAAGTTCTTTCATTAGACGATCTGTTGCTTGGACGCTGCCCGATACGCTTCCCTATAGTCACACAAAGTCAGCATGATTAATAAGAAATTCCAAAAAAAAAAAAAATATAGGGCCCCAACAAAAATAAATTATTCGTGAGTTTTAAATCTTAAATATCTCCGAAACCACAATAGTGACAAATTTCAGTCATTTTTTCTTGTAGGATCTTTTGACTTACAACTCACGAATAATTTTTGGGAATTTTGCTATAACTTTGTCAGCTTTCATTGATATATTGAATTTTATAATCTTGTGTTTAGCTTCAAAAAACTTTATAAATTGTCCTAGAAACATACTTGAATGAACATAATTAAGTCAAAAAAAATTTAACGGTTTTATTTTTTTGAATATTTTCGGTTGTAATTTGTTTGTTTACAAACAAAATTGGGAATGAAATTTGAAAAGTCACGAAAATATCACTCAATAATGATGAAAAAGCTCTTAAAATAGTCAGAGAAACTAATGTGTCATGTACTTTTCGTATTTAAATCATAATATTTGGAATTGGTGATTGAATAATTAAGAATTTTGAGAATTTAATTTTTTGATGTTTTGTAAGATAAAGTTATTGAAAAATTCAAATTATTTCTTAACATTAGTATTTCTTATTATAGCAAAAATCCTACAAAAATCGTCGAGGCCTTATATATAAAGCACTTACCCGCAAGTAGTCTTGTCTCTGTGTTTGTCTTAATCTCTCTAACGTCGCTAAGTGCTCAACTTCCATCTCATCCTTTTTATTAGAGCCTCTACCTTCGTCTAATTCTAACGGTAAATCCTCTTCTGGATCAGATTCTTCACTTTCGCCTACAACATCCTCTAATTCTTCGGGATCAGTATCGATCTCATCTTGATGATGCTTTACTGGCGTTTTACCATTATTACTCACATGATGATTGGAACTCGTTGGCATCGAATGGAACGTATTGAGCTGATGAACTTCGTTCGGTAATGGGCAGGCGTGTATGGTACAGAGCTCTCCTAACAATATCCTAGCCTGAAGAATGACATTTATTATTAGTCGAGGCAAGCGAAATATAAACAAATAAAATCAGAAAAAAATGAACAATAAGAAGCTTGATACCATATGTGATGACGATGATTATGACGATGCTTCTTCTTTATTTTCTTTTTTTAATGACAATGACCGATTTCAAGGATGGTGAATATTATTTTACAATGGTATAAAGACTTTTACTCACTTGATTTATAACATGGTTATCTAGTCCACTTGTATTGCTAAGTAATTGAATTGCATTCGTAATAATCGGTTCCTCAATGTCCGCAAACCAAACTGGCGGTGTTGATGGGTATGTTTCCTGAGCAAAATTAAATTATTATTAATGCTTATTTGTGGTATTTGTATTATTTATGTAGAACAATATGAATCGAGTTCAAAATTGCAAAGTACGCAAAAGTAAAATTTATTGTGAATCAATTTCTTTCGATTCTGAGAAATTTTTGAACAAAAAGTTTCCCCCATTTTAAGTTTAGATCCTTAAATTTCTACCTAGACATGATAATGACAGTCAGTTGATATGTCTCGAGCAGGCAAAAAAAAAAATTACAGGGTGAGAGATAAGAGCACAAAAAGAAATGAAAGTGTTTGCTGCATACATATTAGGTTCGTAGCTAATTAGAATGCTTCCTTGTAATCATCCTATCTATTTGAGATTTTTTATCAAAACAAAATCCATACACACACACACACACACACGTACGCATTTATTGCATTTTCCGATTGCTGCGTACAGCTTTTCCTTTTTCACGGTAACCAGATGATTTTTTTCTCTTTTTTTTTCTTTCTTTTCATATATTTTTGGGGGAGCTCTTAGGTCGTCGTCTGATCGATAATGGGGGAAATGAAAACTTTTGAATGATAATTAATGAAAATCTAAGAGTTTTGAGTACTGGATGTTTTTAAGACTCCCGCAAATTATTTATGCTGATTTTTAAAATGCCCTGTTTTCACATCAAGTTAATTCCGAATGTATTAAGGCACAGAAAGAGAGTGAATATAGGAAATGAAAGAAAAAAATCAAATATGGAATACTTACAGTAATATTAGCATGAATATCAAATTTCTTGCCATTTTTTGTTATGAAACGACACGTTAATTCGTCTACACTGGCGTTAATTACAGCAAATCGTTCATGATTTTTCGGGAAGAGTTTTTCAAGAGTTTTAATTTCTGATTTTAAATTATTAAGACATGCCATATTTTCTTCAACACTATATTTCTCACAATTATGCACACATTTGAGTCAACTTTTTACATTGAGATTACTTTACAGGATATAAACAAACAATTTAGACTAATTGATTAACTAGCGCGTTAATATTTCACGATTTAATTTGCTTTTAAAGTGCAGAAACTTATTTTTCTTTGCAAATAAACTTTTTTTTTTGAAAGTCCATTCAAAAACTTTTTTGACGAAAACACTGACTGTGAACTGCAACAATTTGAATTTTTGAAAACCGTTCATTACGATTTGTTGCAACAGTCAATTTTATTTTGAATTTTCAAACAATCCGAAGAAGTGATACAATATTTTTACTTATTGGAAACTTAATTAATCTACTATTGCTACCTGATGCTGCTATGTTTACATTACATTAATGAGAATTTAATTGATTTAAAGAGTCAGCTATTTATGTGAATTTGATTGAAAAGTCAAAGAGTGCTAGTTTTCGCGCGGAATTACATATGCCCAATTTTTTTTGAAAAAAAAAATTACCTTTTTTAATAATTTCAAGTTTTACGCGTATTTAAACAGATTCAATAGAGTGAAAACATAATTAAAGGGCCGTAGAGAGATTGCAAAAGCTTTATTGTGCAGACAGTTTCGAGAACTAAGCGAGAATTTGAGGAATTTACATTTTTTTGGAGTGTATAAAAGAAGCACTATTTTTTGTGAGAAGAATTAAGATTTTTTTTTTGTAAATTCACTCCAACATACAGTGTTTGGTTAAAGTAATTACTGTTTATGGTTGTTGATCGTAAAAAGTAATCCACACAAGCTGAGTTGAAGTCAAGAGAGATTTAAATATAACGAAATTGTAAGTTTGCCTCCATTTGCATACATTAGTCTTAAGTTTTTTTTTATGTCTCGCTTTATAGCGTTAATAGCTTATCAATTCTAAATCTTATTATGTGAAAACATCCTAACACGTAACACTCCAACTGTCATGAATGTTAATATCAATAATAAATAAATTTCTCTCGATTTTTTACAGAACCCTCTCAAACATCCAGTCATTCAACCACAATGTCCGAGTCATATAAAGATGGTGAAGTGGTTTGGGTCAAATGGCGAAGCGTATGGTGGCCTGGTGAAGTTTGGGATAATTCAAGAGTTCCAGAAGACATTTTGACATCTTTAAGGAAACCAGTCATTGCATTTGTTAAGTTTTTTCAGGAAGATTCATTGTAAGTTGTTCAATTTTGCTCTTATTGCGTCATATCTAATGCTCTTTTATTCATTTTAGTGAGTTTGTACGCAGTCCAAACAACATTTGTCAATACAATACCGACAAAAAGATGGATTTTATCAAAAAAGGAATGGGTACGTCAACAGTCTTAGAGCCTTATAGTTCCTTTAACTAATATTAGGTCAATCTTTCCAGATAAATACCGTTCAAACAACAAAATAATGACAAACTTTCCAGCAGATGTTCTGAAGGCAGAGCAATTAACAAAAGGAAATGTCAATATATTGAGTACACTAGAAACGCCGACAAAATCAAAAGGAAATACATCTTCCAGTAGCGTGACTCCAACTAGTTCAGATCCAGCACGAAAATCTTCAGTTCAAGCTCCATTAACGATGTCACTATCGACACCATCTCCAGTCACAACAAAAAAAGCTGTTGGATCATACAATTCAAGCGTCAAAGTCCAAAATACGACGAGCTCTGTGCAGAAATCAAACGATAAGAAACTAACATGTACTATGTGCAATTTTGCCACTGATCGAATGAATCTATTGATGATGCACATTAAAAATCATTCACAAACTATACTTTCTCGCGTTAACTGTAAGTATTACATGCTTCAATATGGATTAAACATCTAATACTCTCATTTTTATGAAATATGTAGCACCATCGTCGTCGTTGGACATTAGAAAGTCAATGATTCCAAAAATTTCTACAAGAAAACTGGAATTGGATGATGGCATTGCCGAAGATGTTCGTAAAATTAAGGAATCTATGAAGGAACCGACAACAACATTAACTCCAACAGTAGCGACAGTAGTCACTTCCGTAAAAAAGACTCGAACACTGGCATCGACAGCGAAATCAACGCCAAAGTTAAAACAATCTCGTCAAACAAGAAAGGATAGAAATAAATCCGATAAAATTATAGACAAGGAAGATGACAAGGCTAGTTTATTGAAGAAAACAGACGATAATGCGGTCACAGTAGATGTTGAAAAGAGTCAAAACCCAAAAGTTAATACTTGTGAGCTTAAAAATGAACTGTTGGCTGATTGGTTGGATGAAGAAGATGTCAAAGTTGAAGAAAAGAAGCCTGAAAATAATGGTAAGCAATCGTCAAAATTAACGGCTTTCAAAAATTTAAATTGAATCAGAATTTTTGGATTTTTCAAAATCTATTAATTTTTGAATTCTAATAGTCTGTTAAACTTACAAAATAAAATAAAATAACATTTTATTTATCTAATAGAAATAATGAATTCACCAGCGGCAGTGATTGAGAAGCCTGTTGAAAGTCCCATTAAGTCAGCTGAAAAGGTTCCCGTAGAACCATCGCGTTCTATTAGAAATATACCGAAGAAACAACGAGTAAGTGAGATTTATATTCAACCAGAAATTCCCGAGAAAGTTGAACTTTCAAATTCAGTCAAAAAGACGGTTGAGGAACAACCAAAATTGGTGTTGGAAGATAAAACAAAAAAGGAAGAAGTTATATCCACATCAGCAGAGATAAATAAGAAATCTCAGCAAAAAGCAAGCAAGCGTAAACATGCAGCATCTGACTCATCTAATGAACCTGAAAAGAAAAAGATGTCTGAAGATAGTGATGATAAAATATTGATGGCCACAGCCGAGCTATTAAATGAAACAGAAGTGCCTAAATTGAGTAATGTACAGTCGCCATCATTCCATTCGAATGATATTGATAAGAGAAATCTACCGCCAAAGGAGAGAAATAAAAGGATATTTAGGGCCAAGAATAGTCCCGAGACTGTTTCAATTCCACAAATACCGCTCCAATTAACATCAACAGCTGTGCTTGTTGAAAATAAAAGCGATGAGAAAATTTCCTCTGAGAATGAATCAAAATTGGACGAAAAGAATGACTCAATTGCTGGATTAGGAGGAACGACAATTATTAACGAAGTTCAAATACCTCCAACAACCTTAATCAATAACAAGAATGATCGACAGGAACTCATTTTGCCTCATAAAAAGAAGCAATCCTCAAGACTTTTAACGGCTGAAAATTTAACTCCGATTCAGGAAGTTAAGCCTGTCGTTGAAGCACTAAAGCAGGAACAAGTCATAACAACAACGACATTGTTAAGAACTAAAAAGAACCGAAAATCATCAGACACACAAAAAACAATTGAAATTGAAACTATTGAGAAAATAAAGCCAATTCAAAGTCCATTAAGAGAAGCTGCCGATTCCAATGACACAGAAGTCTCTAAATGTGAATGCGATACGACAACAACTACAACAATTTCAGAGAATTCAAATCGTGGCCAAAAACGACAGCATTCAAAAGATTCTCAACCCGATGATTCAATCAGTAAGCTTCAACCTGACGCAAAAAAACTGCACAAATCGGATATGCCAAGGACATTAAAGGCATGCTCGAGTGAAACAATTTGTATAACAAGTAAAGGCACATTGTCTGTAGCACGAAGAGATTCAATTAAAACGACATGTGCAAATTCTGTCGTCGTTACATCTCAAGTCATAATATCGGAAGCGACTAAGCTGCCAATCGTATCTACTCACGTTTCCACAAATACATGCACTGATACAATATCATCAAGTTCAAGCAGTCCAAAACCGTCAATTTCATCCACAACCTCGACTGTGACTTTATCGCCTCAAACACTTAAAAATGCACTGAAAATTCCAGAAGAAAAAAAGGAAGAGATGAAAAAGCAGGGATTATTGACAATTGAAAATAATCGAACTAAATTGACACCAAAAGGGCGCCAAAAATTCAAAGAATTTCAAAATAAGAATGATAATCTTTCAGCAACGTCCAGTTTAACATCAATAACATCTAGTACATCGTCATCAGCACTAAATAGTACATTCTCTACTTCATCGATATGCAGTATGGCAAGGAGTAGCGAGGTAAGTGAATCCTCACAGGATGAAAAGTCAATGGTTATCGATGAAAAGGAAGATTCTGCTCCTGAAGACGATTCAAAGCTTATGAATGACGATTCTGAGTTTATAAATGAGGATTTACAGCCGATAAATAACGATTCTAAGCCCACAAATGAGGAATTAAAGCCTGTAAATGAAGAAATAAAGCCAGTAATTGAACATGAAGACAATGTCGACGAAAAATCTCAGAATTTATCCATAAAATTAGACGTCGATGTAGAAATGGAATCTAATGAGAATAGAGTTGAGCCTCAGCCACCTGTAGACGAAATTAAGGTATTACAGGAACCAGAAATAGTACACGATACACAAAATAAAGTTAATGATAATAAAAGTAGCGATAAGGAGACACAACAGGAAGTAGACGAGACAAATAAAGTTAATGATACTAATGGAAGTGAATCAGATGTCTGTAATGACGTGACTGTAACGGTCGACGAGAAATTTGAAAGTACAAAACAAGCTGAAAGTGATAAGAAAACAGAAATTGACGAATGTCCTCAAGAAATTCCAAAACAGGATGTCGAAATTGTTCAAGATATCCAAAAAGTTGAAGAGCCAACTAAATTGGAGCCTGAAATTGAAAAGTCCATTAAGGAGGAATCTGTAGAGCCTACAAAAATTAAAATTGTCGAACCTATTGAGCTTAACGCTTTAGAATCCCCAAAAAAGGAAGAAATGGAAGTAGATGACTCAAAAATAGAAGAAACTTCATCAAAATCGGAAGTAAATGACTCAAAATCAGAGATTGATGAAGATTCACAAAAGGTTGAGGATTTGTCAACATCCTGCACATCGTCATCATTAGTTACGATTACAACAAATTCCACAGATGATTTAGATTCACAGTCAGATTTAAAAAAGAAACCAACTGAGAATGGAAATGACGATGAGGAGATAGAGGAAGTAGATAGCGAGGCAATAGAAATGTCAATTGACGATCCAAACTCTGGAAGTACTGGATTAATTGCATTACAAGCTGAAACTTTTGGTGGACCGCCAAATTGTTTCTATTTATGTCGTCAAATTGAGGACCGTTATGAGCCTGTCGACAATCAAATTCTCGTATTAAATGGCCAAAATGCTCTCGTGCCGTACGATGGCATATCGGATTTAGGTCTCTCATCGACAGAAAATACACAAGAAAGTCTTACAGCACTTTCTCAATTATCGCCCAACTCAAATATCATTATTAATACTCCAAACGGACAAAAAATTGAATTAAATCATCTTACGATTATGGCACTTCATGAGCAGGCTGACGAAAATGGAATTGCATCAATTGAATTATCCGGTGAACAGATGGAATTAAATATTAATGCTATTTTGGAAGCTTTAGCGAGTCAACAAGATGTGACAGATTCAAATGAATCAATTATTCCTGGTTCTGTGCTCCTCGATAGTTCTGATGGTCCATTAATTATTGAATCAGAAATTCCAATGGATGTACATCATGCGAGTGTTGCTACACAAGTCAGTGAAACCTTAACAAAGCCAATAATGTCCACAACTATTGCGCCTGAAATTGCGATAAATCCAACGAAATCAACTTTTTCTGAAAATTCTGTTACGAGGATGCTCAACATTGAAGACAGTCTTGCATCGATTGGAGTCACGCCTACTCGTGCTAATGTACCAAAATCATTGGAACTGCCTATCACTGTCACTAATCCCACTATTACTGGTGAGTTTTTAACGACTGTTTGGAATTCAAATTTTATCGGTTTTCAAAAATTCAAATGGAAACAGTTTTCAAAAATTCAAATTTACCGGTTTTTCAGGATTCAAATTGTAACATTTTTCAAAAATTCAACGATTCGTTAAATTTTGAATTCAAATCTGAAAAAGTCGTTGGAAATTTAATTCTATCTAATTTAATTTAAAATCAATTTATCTTTCCAACAGAGACAGTAAATCACCGGAAGCTGGCAGCATCACTTGGTGCAGATATCATTACAGAAACGTTTGTCGTACAACAGTCCACAGATAATGGATCAGATGACTAAAAAAATCAGTAACTATGCAGAATTATTAATCATTTTAAATTGCAAGAAATGAAAAAACAATGTAATTTTTAATAACATACAATATAGTATAGAATTGACATGAATGTATGTCAATTGAAATCTGTAAGCATATAATTTCACTTATTTAACTATGGAGACGATAAATAAGAGAAAATTAAGAAGTTGCAAATGAATTGAAACTGCTTTTTGTTAAAAAAAAGGTCTCACTTCAAAATAATCTTTTTTTTCTTTTTAATTGTAATAATTAACATTAGTTTTCCTTTAAAAAAAACTACAATTTTGTTTAAAGCACACACCCCCCACATACACATAATGTCTTATGCAATTTTAATTTTAGTTTGATAAGCTTTTTGATAACGATATAAAAGAAAATGATGAGAAATAATAATGAAGAAATTTAATCTTTAAAATGGGACTTTCTATAACATAATAAGATGAAATAATAATAATAAAAAATATAAAGTTTGAATGCTGGTATGACCGAATAAACTTATGGATGTAATAATCGATACAACTTTTTTTTACAATTTACTTTATTTTACTTTTATTCCTCTCATTGTGTAGAAATTATGATTTATTCTTCAATTAGCATATACAAATAAAACAAGAAATCGTAAGCAAAAATGGAATATTTGATTTAATGTCATACAAAAGCTTTTAGATGATAAGAAGCAGTAGAAGAGAATGTAAAATGTATGAATATTGAAAAAGGATATTTAATTTAATGTCTTACAATTTAGAAATCATTTCCGTTTCTTCTTTTTTCGAAATCACCTTGCAACATGCAAAATGAATTTCTTATTTTTTTCAGACAAACTTGCTTATTTTTTCCTTTCAGGGACATTTCCTTGAAGATATTCAGTTTTTGTGGGGTGTTTCTTGTTGAGGAAATTTGATTCTTTTCAGAATGGATGAATGAATTTATTAAAATTTTATAATGAAGTTTGATTTTTCATGATTACATTTTATAACTTGAAAGTTCGATGATTTTACGGTTTTCAAAAATTTGAATTTTAAGTGCTTTCAAAAATTCGAATTTTAACGGTTTTCATTTATTCAAACTCTAGCAGTTTTGACAAATTTGAATTTTAACAGGTTTAAAATTCAAAATATACACAGTTCAATACATTGAACTGTAGATCCTTAGGGGTCGTTCACTTATTACGTTACGCAAAAAAACGACTTTTTTCACCCCCCCTCCCCCCTTGTTACAATATGTTACAACTCACAACCCCCCCCCCCCCCCCCCGCCCCTGAACGTTCATAATTTATTTTATCATTAAAAAGGTGGAAAATTTAAAAAAATGTTTTCGGTGTGAATTTTCGTGAACTTTTTTTTAAAAGACAGACGACAGTTGGAACGTTACATACTTCTTGACACCCCCCCTTATGTTACATTTTGTTACAAATTTTCAAACCCCCCCTTCCCCCTAAATTGCGAACGTAATAAGTGAACGGCCCCTTATTGACATCCTTTGAAAGTATGCATGCGGAGACAGCTTCCTCCACTTCAATATAATGTCAAGAATGATGATATTTATGAAAAAATTCTCCGAACTCTTAATCCTCAAGTCATGTCAGCTGAAAATACTAGATCCACTGGAAAGGCCAATAAAGTTTTCCAGGAGGTTGTTCGAGTTTCAATTAATTTTAATCTTCTTTTGCGTTTACTGTTAAAGCACACTTGACATACCAGCGAGGTTTTAAAGCATAATTCTCACATATAGCAGTGCTTTTAGCATAAAGTATATTGTTTTTGGAAAATTCCAATTTTATTGATGCCACAAATGCTTACAATTTAGTTTGAGTCTGATTGAATGTGTGGGATCAAAGACATTTCATTTCTGTTTTGTGTCTTAATGCTGAACAACAAGATTGTGGATTTATTTAATGTCTTTAATGTGATGAGATTTGAGCGTTATTGTCCGTGGATGTAAGCATAGTAACTTGAAACTTTGATCTTACCTGTAGATGTTTCCAAGGCATTTTTTGAAAGATGAGGAACCAAATTTTCAATGGAATGAGAGATTTGTTGATGTGAAATTTTCTGAAAAAGTCGTAGGCAGCACCTTCACAGAAGTACTGGGGGTCCTCGATTTGAGTAGTTGTTTTGTTCCAAAAAATTTCTACTCAAATCGAATCTATTCAAATCGAGGCAAAGAATCCATACAAAATCACATGTTTTGTTCCAGAGTCCAAAAAATGTATCAAAACAAAGAAAATTTTGATAATTTTTTGCACATTTTACCTCGTTTCTTAGCTTTTCCTATGTGTTTTTGATACCTTAATTTATTTCAACGCATATTCATATTGTTTTTAAACAGAAATTCACAAAAAATATGTTTTTGAAACAAAACAAAAATATGAGAGCTTTGCAAATGTTATTTCACCGAACAATTTGTAGGGTTTTTGAATTTGAACTTTTTAAAACCGTTAATTTTATATCGATTTTTTAAATTTTTACTTTAATTTTGTAATTTTAGTATTGATTTTTCGATCAATATGATAAGTTCACGCTTATTGCAGTAAAATTTATGTTTTAAAAATATTTTCTGAAATGTTTTTATCAAAAATATTTGTTTTGTAAACAATTCAAATCGAAGAAAACAGGAAGAAATCTACTCAAATCGAATATTTTGGTAGGTAAAAAAATTTCTGTTCAAATCGAATCTACTCAAATAGAATCTACTCAAATCGAGGACCCCCAGTACATACTTCACAATGATTCATTTGCTAATGCTACGTGAGAATATTATATTTTTTTGGTTCCGAGAAAATCGCATTAAAATTGAGCTACTGACTAGGTACTTTAATATCATGGCAACAAGGAAATGAAGCATTTCCTTTTTAAGAGGAAAATTGAGGAAGTCGCGAATGTTTTGTGAAATGTTGGGTTGACAATTTTGTACGGTTAAAATTTAATCTCAGGATTATTTTTTAAGCTTAGATTAATCACTAAAAGTCGTTGAAAGATTTAAAAATTTGAAATCCGTTACAATTTTTGAATTTTTTGAAAACAGTTGAAATTCAAATTTTTGAACCCCGTTAAAATTTAAAAAAAAACTTAAAATCAAGTATCCAACGATATTACACACAGATTAGCTTTCATGTTCCTTCCAACCTTTTCTCGTCAACATCAGAAAAATCAACCACTTTTGACTGGACATGAAATAAACTCATCATTCAATAAGGGACCGTTCACTTATTACGTTACGCAAAAAAAATATTTTTTTTCACCCCCCCCCCCCTCCCCCCTTGTTACAATATGTTACATCTCAGAACCCCCCCCCCCCCCCCCCGAACGTTCATAATTTATATTTTTTTGATTTTTTATTCTAAAAAGACGGTTAAATTTCTTTTGTATTTTTTTTCTTAAACATCAAAATACTGTAGAGCTAAAAACGTCATGTTTTGATTGATACTTTTAGTATTCTCATGTTCTCATGAATTATTGGATTGAGATATAAAGCAAAAATTTGTTTTTTTTTATGAAGAAAATTCAAAAATGTCATGCAAAATATTGCCCGATCGAATTTTGGAAAATTCAATCAACTTTGAATGTAAATATCACAATGATGGGATCATATTAGTCATCATATGAATGACATATTTAGAGAGATTTACTTTTAAACTTTTGATTGATTTAATTTTGAAAATTTCCACAAATTATGATTGTATTTCAAAGTCTTGTAAACCAATTTTCTATTGATTTGTTACTTTAAATTTAAAAAAAATGTTTTTGGTGTGAATTTATCAGAGTTTGAAAATAAAATGAAAATTGCTCTATTTTGAAAATAAATCAAAATGAAAATTGTGAAAATTGCCAATTTTGATCAAAGCAATTTTGCCATTTTGTCAATTTCAGAAAATTGTTATTTTGGAAATTGTTTATTTTCGAAAATTGCAATTTTGGAAATTATCAATTTTCAATTTTGTGACGTCACAAAATTTCTTCGGGAATTTTGTATGAAAATTTTCATATGAATTGATGACTTTATGCTTGAAACTTTCCTTGATTTTTAATCAAAACCATTATCAGCAATCATAGCAGCAAATGATGAAAATTAATAACGAATCATAAGTACTGTGCTATATGAGATATCCCATATGGAACTGGTTATGTCCAACTGACTGGAACTGCCAAAAAAAATTTTATTTGTTTTCTATACTTTTTAGACACTTTCAGGCATGGGGTGGAACCAGGCACTTCCTCTACTTCCAGATCTGATTTTAGGTGCTAACTATACCAGGGAGGTTCCAAAAAATCAGGTTAGCAAAAAAGTTCGGAAAATTCAGCAGTTACTCTCCCCTAATAAAATTTACATCGAACATGTTTTTCATACATTTTCAGAAATGATTTTTTTTTTTTTGATAATCATGTCTGTATGGTGATGCAGCATTGCTGATACTCAATTAACAAGATGATTTATTATTAAATAAAGGATCTGTTTTACTTTGATGTTTTTGCATTTTATTGCTTAATTTCCAGTTTTCTTGAATAATCGTGACATAAATAGTTTTGAAAATTAAGTCTAGAAGTAACGGAAGTGCTTAGTTTAACTCCATGCCTTAAAAGTGTGTAAACCTTCATTAAAAGTGTTAAACATTTTAAAAAATTTTTTTGCAGTTCCAACCAGTTGGATACTACACAATGCATGTGAAATATCATAGATATTAATGTAATAATGTTTTGACATTCAAAAATTATGATTATGAGCATTATGAGTACCTTTAATTTAAAATAAACTTAAAGGAACAACGCATCAAACACGCAGGAATTAGCAAGTATTAAGTTAAAAACGAATATCAACATCCAGGAAATAAACTGTATCTTTTGTTTTTCTGAAGAAAAAATTCATTTAAAAAGAAGAAAATTTTCATACAAAATTATTCATCAAATATTTATGACGTCACGAAAATAAAAATTGATAATTTCCGAAATTGCAATTTTGGAAAATAAACAATTTCCAAAATTGCAATTTTCTGAAATTGACAAAATTGCAAAATTGCTTTGATCAAAATTGGCAATTTTCATAATTTTCATTTTGATTTATTTTCAAAATAGAGCAATTTTCATTTTATTTTCAAACTCTGGAATTTATAAACAAAATTTTTTCGTGAACTTTTTTTTAAAAGACTGACGACAGTTAGAACGTTACATACTTCTTGACACCCCCCCCCCCCCCTATGTTACATTTTGTTACAATTTTTCAAACCCCTCCTCCCCCCTAAAATGCGAACGTAATAAGTGAACGACCCCTAAGACATTTTTTTATGCTCAAAAGGAAGCACTTGCATGAATGAATTGAAGAAAATCCAATTAAAGTACAAATATTAAAGGTGTGACTGGCAGATTTTTTTATTATTTAAGATTTTTCATTCATTTTTCTTTATTTATAAATTTAAAATATCAACTTATTACATGACATAATGGAACAAAAGTCAATTATTATTTAATTACATTATCTATACTTTATTTATCCAAGAAAAAACAAAAGAAATCATTCTGAAAAGTTTTAAAATGAAGTCATTCCGTACATTCAGAGCTGTCAAACAAAAAAATCATGTCAATTATAACACATAAAACAATTAAGGAATCAAGTGAGTGTGTGTAGGTACAGAAAAAGTCCGAATAACATTGATCTACACTACATTCATTGTATTTTTGTGGATTTATCTCGTCCATCTAATCAGAAAATAGGATGTCTACAAATGATGTCAATTTTAGTCTTCAGACTTTCCACATAGCTACAAAGCCGATGTTAACAATTTTGGCGCCAAAAGTCACTTAGACACCATTTGTAAGCAACCCGTAAAGGAAATACTTTTATGCTAAAAAGGAGTTTGTTCCGATCATTAAGCAATAGGATAGAGTGAAAAGAACTGGAAAAATATATTTAAATTTTCATTCATTTTTTGAAAAAGTGAAAAATCTAAGCGCAAAAAGTCTATAAAGTGTAATAAAATATTCTTCAGCTCTCTTTCAAATCTTTAACTCGCTCCTTGACACTTGCGTGTCCTTTTGGGATATCCGAAAATATATATTTTTTTTTGTCAGATTTATGTGCTGCATGAATTTTCAAACTTGATTTTAAAAATAGAAAAAAATTCAGCTTTTCTTTTGTGAGTTCAAGGTCGTCCTTGAGAATGGCCTAGAAATTAGATATTCAAGTCTGTAGCTTTAGATTAATACACGGTCAAGTTCATGAAAATGTTTTCATTTTGTCGCCGCACACAGTCGAGAATCTTGATTGGGTCCATAAAATTTGAATCTATTAACATGAAAATCTATTTCTTGTTGGATTATTGTGTTGGAATTGCCAGTTTTTGGGTTGTGATTGCTGTTATTTTAGAATTAAGTTTATTTTTTTGAATTTTTGAAACGGTTAAAATATTTTTGAATTTTAACGTTGAAAAAATATTTGAATTTCAACTGTCAAATTGTTTTTGAATATTTAACGAAGTTTTTAAAGTTTCGTTAAAAATTCAAATTTTAACGGATTTTTTTGTGATAAATTTCAAATTCAAAATTTCCGTTTAACTTCCTTTAACATCACCATTTTTTCACCCATAAATCAAAGCCTTGCCTAAACATTTCAGAGCTCTTAATCAAGATCTTTTTAGACATTTGTCATGTTCATTCTCATCCCAAACAGAAAATAAAGAATCTGAACGAAGAATAATGATTTAATAACAGCACTGGTCCCGTACTTATCACTTAATTCCGACACATTTATCAGTTTGCTCGAGCTTCAACCCTCAATTTGTTAACAAATTTGCATTAAGACAAGCTATCAAGATAATTATGCTCATAAATTATCCGCAATCAAGTTTTTGATTCGCACCAAAAAAAAATCTGACAAAAAACAATTTTTCCGGATGTTATGCACTGCCTGACTTTCCTTTCATCTCATGTACAATGTTATTTTAATTGAAATTTATTATTTTTTTTTCATAATGGATGGAGAATTAATTAGTCTCTAATACTTGGCGCCAAAAGCCTAGGAAAAAAAAGTTTACAAATATCTTTGTATGTATGTGTGTTGTCTTCTTTATGCTGCTTACTGCTGCTCTTATTCATAAAAAGTAAATGTCGCCTGTGCTTTATGTGTGTGACCTTGAAAATCCTTACTTTCTGCCAGTGATTTTTTTTTTCTATTATTTTTCATGCCTTCTTCTTCCTTACTTGATTTTTTTTTATATTTTTATTTCTGTATGGAACGAAAAATATATACTTTTATAATATTTTACACCTACGTGATTCCTATAAATCTTCTCTTGATCGTCTTAAGGATTATGCTCAAGTTTTTATCATTTTCAATAAAAAAATTTCGAAAAAAGAAGGTTGGATTCAATGTTCTCTTCTTGTTTAATTCTTTAAATGTGGAGCTACAAAAATTTATTTTCATTAAGCTTTTTCTTTTCATTGTTGTATGAGTGCATTTTCCCGTGAATAATGTGCTTAATTCGCTTCACTTCGCAGCTGGCTGGATTTAAAATTTGTATATTTTTTGGAATATTTGTTTTTAATCCATAGATTAAAAAAAGCTTTAGACTTAGCAGAGTTCGAGCTCTGGATTGTTAAGTCAGCATAGCTTACAGAATAGGTATAAGAGACAAATCTAGCAGGAGATAAACTTGTTCAGAAGCAAATGTGGTTCAGACTTTGGACACAAAGCAAATCGGCACAAGAACTACCCAAATAAAGTCTGTTCATGCGAATAAGGGGCAAATCCCTTTATAAAATGACGAAGGAAATAGAATCCTTGAACTGCACCGTACAGCTTTTAAATCAGTAAATCCTTAAGATTAAAATTTTAATCCACGGATTAAAATTGGAGATTAAACATTTATATGCCACAATATTAATTCTATTCGTCTTATGATATAATCACTTCCATATTTGAAATCTAGCTGCAATAAATCGATAGCTTGCTATTTTAAGCTGCTTATTGATTTTTAAGACGATGACAATGCCTAAACTTCATCTCAACAATAGTCCTGCTTAATCATCATCAGAAGAATCATTTTAGCTACTCCAGACATTTTTGTACAAAGACTAGCTTGTTCAATTAAAATCTAGAACTAAGATGGGATTAATCCACTGACGAAAGCTGGGAAAATGCGCCGAAACCGCTTAAATAGCGACAATTTTTCTAATTTTCTGGTTTTCTTGAAGATTTTCTTTTTTTTCAAAGTAGATATTCTTTGTTTTGTTTGTTTGATGTCTATATTCAATAGATTTTTTTTTTTTATATCTTTTCTGTATTATTTGTAATTCATTACAATTAACATTTAATTTAATTATTCAATCTTGGGCATTTTTTCTTCTTCTCGTTTTAAAATTCAGTATTAGTTAATTAAACAATTAATTTATTATGTTTTTGTTTTTTTTTTTTTTTCACGTTAAATATTCAAATGTCTTGAGAGTTTCAATCAATCAGGAATTCATGACTTTTCTTCATGTTGGATTAGTGTAAATAGAAAGGAAAGTTACCAAAAAAAAAAATACTAATTCAAATGGAGATTTTCGTTACTATATAATCATCATATCCTCTTTATCTGGTTGAGTCCATACGTGTGTGTATATAATATATATATTTAAAGATCGAAATAAATTGTGTACAATCAAATTTATGTGACAGGGCCCAAAAAAAGGTTGGTAATTAATGGAAAAAATTTAGATAATCGAAAATATAGGAGGAAATAAGGTGCTTTTTGTGTGTATGTGCAACACAATATTGAAATGTTATTCTGTTGTGTCTTGCATCTATCATTGATATTTGTAGTTGTTGTTGTTCTTTTTGTGTTGTTGATGGAAATTAACCGCTCTTGAACAGCAAAATAGCCACTTGTCCCAAATAGAAGTAAATAAAGTGACGAGTCTCGTGCGTTACATATGATCCGAAATTCCTTCCTACGATGCAATGCCATGTAGGATTATATTTTTTATCGAATTCTTTCTTAATATATGCGGCAATGTCCTGTTGAAGTGGGGAAATAAAGAAGAAAAAGATACATGTTAATAAATTTGGTTCTGAGCAGTTGTTCATGAACTTTATTATGACACATCTTTTAAAGTTTGTCCATAAATAAAAGTTGACCAAAAACTGTCAAAAACAATTTGAATAGACAAAAGCAGCTCAAAATTTAAATTTTAATAAACCGTTTTGAATTCAAATTTTAAAAAATCCATTAAATTGTTCAACTAGATAAAAGTATTTGATAAAAGACTTCTTTTTTGAATCTTTATACAAACTTAGGAGTGTGTCGTGTAATACTGCTCTAAATTGCCAATTCCAAGAGCCTTTAAGAGGAATTAATCGATTAAAAGCCATCAAAGTTTCATAAAGGATAATAAAAAGACACTTTATGCAGTCCTCTTCATTCAATAATAATGAAGAATAAAAGCAGGAAGGCAAATATATGACTTAATTGCGATAAAAGTTATCATAATGTGCCACTTCATGAAGCAACATCGAGTATGAGAGACAGAGCACATACAATAAAATAACAGAACAGTTTCAAGTCAAGGAGAAAAAAAAAAGCTCAGAATGCATGAGGGGAGCTTTAACGAGGAATATATGGATAGATCAAGTCGTTCTAAAATTTTCTTTCCATTCCTACTTCTTTTTTTTTTGACAGAATGAAAAATTCCTATACTTTTTACTTGTGAATATCATGCATGCAGCAGTAATCGTTTGTTATTGATTTTTTTCTACCCTAAAGTAGTCGGTAATGTTACACAAAACCGTTGCTGCTTTATATTTTCTTTCTTTTCGGCTCTGTTAGATCAATCGATTGATTGTCTTAAGCTATAAAGTGTCTCTATGTGTATATTTAGGTTTGTATATCAATGAAAATTGCATATTATAGCTTACCTTTTCAATGTTGTACTTTTCAAGTGCCTGTGTCGCACAATCTACGGCATCTTGTTGCATCTCTTCGCCCATATCAGCGTTTTTAATCACTGCCTTTCTATCACTCATGTTTGTTGTGCTGTAATTATCTGCAAATTAATTAAAGTCGTTTTTTGTGATTGATTGATTTGACTTGACTTGGTGCGCGCGATGATGCTTTTTGTGTGGAGAAATGTTGATTGAGAACAAAAAAAAAGATTTTTTTTCCAGATTTTTTTGCCTTCAAAAATTGTTATTTTTAGAAATTATAATGATGGCAAAATTTATTCTCAATTATATATTAAATCAATTAAGCATCGAACGGAGGACGTTACCGATATAAAATCAGCACAAACGGCAATTAAATTTATATGAGAATTTGTGGTTATAAAAAAATGATAAAAATATTTTTCAACTTACTCAATTTATGCAATTATTTGGAATTAATTGATATAAGCGATTACTTTCACTTAAACTTTAATGAATTAAGCGTATTTAAATGCAATATCTAGATCGATATAATACTTATTTAATTGCGAAAACTCTTTAAAACGCCAAATTTACTTCTGTCAAACACTTTTTCTTTTGTTGTACTCTGTCAGGGTACTCAACTACGATCTCAATGTTTGCTGAAATTGAATTTTTTGAATTTTTCACCAACGGTTTTCTATATCAATTTTTGTCTCAAAATCTCTTCATTTATGCTCTATTAAGTTAATTATCATGCCTATTATGCTTTAAATGACTTTAAACTACTGTTTACTCAGCAGATTGTCAGGGTTTGACAACACATTTATTCAGCAACTACGCACAGTGACTCCCCTTCATCTTTCTTTTTACACTCAGTTTTTCAAAAGCAAGGTTTGTATTCAATAAAATTTTATTAATTTATCCATGATAGCAACAAAATTGGAACTACTTCTGTGACTAAATCAATAATTATTACGTCTATTAATCGTTTGACAGTGAAATTACGCGAAAAACTTGTTTAAATCGTTGTAAAATTAATAGTTTAATATTTTGTTGCCATTTAACCTACAAAAATATCGACAATTTAATGTTATTAAGTGATATTTATCGATTCCTTTAATTCTAGAAAAATGGGAGCGTACGCTAGAGAACCTGAGAACATCTCAAAGTCATGCAAGTCTCGTGGAGATAATTTGCGTGTTCATTTCAAGGTAAAATAAGTTAAAACTTTTATATTGTGCAAACTCTAATGTATCGAATATATCCTTTAATTATATTTATAGAACACCCGCGAAACGGCTCAGGCAATTAAAGGCATGCCACTCCGTAGAGCTCAACGATTCTTGAAGAATGTTGTTGACCAAAAGGAATGTGTTCCATACCGTAGATTTAATGGTGGTGTTGGACGTTGTGCTCAAGCTAAGGCATGGGGAACAAGTGTAGGTCGTTGGCCAAAGAAATCAGCTGATTTCCTCATCCAATTGTTGAAAAATGCCGAAGCTAATGCTGACTACAAAGGCTTAAATACTGACAATTTAGTCATTGACCACATTCAGGTAAAAAATCAGCTATTAAGATGCTTAAAATGTCTTTGTGACACAAAAAAGATCCAGTGATTAATAACAAGCCGATTATTTTGTAGGTCAATCGCGCTCCATGTCTTCGTCGTCGTACATACAGAGCTCACGGTCGTATTAATCCATACATGTCATCACCATGTCACGTTGAATTGACACTTACTGAGAAAGAGAAGGTAGCACCATCAAAACCAGCAGAGGAAGAGCCAGAGAAAAAGAAAGTCTCAAAAAAGAAGCTCCAAAAGCAAAAGGAGAAGATGATGCGTGATGGGGAATAAATGAATTAATTGCAAATTACTGATAATTCACAGAAATAACAAAAATGTGAAGCTTTAACATCAAATAAATTCCTGAAAGAATTAAGATACAGTTTAAAGAGACTTGATTTAAATTAGTATAAACAACATTATTGGTGACTTTTATTTTCAGAAATAGCATTCAGTTTGAACTTTGTTATAAATCTGCTTACAGCCTGCATGCGCGTACTTTGTAATGGTATTAAAGCCCAGTTGCTTCATAATTTCATCAATCATTTCTTGAGTAACTTCATTCTTGCCACAAAACCTGAATTCTTCAATGATACATTGAGCTATGTGCGATTCTTCAAGTGGTAAGAATGGGAAATAAAAATCTATGACTGCTGACTTAATCAAATTACTGTCTTTTAGTCCTCCTTCCTTATTATAAACTCCAAGTTTCATAATTTCCTCAAAATGATGAAGTTTTGTCTCGTGTCTGAACAATCCTTTTTTGGCTGTTAATTGGTGTAAAACGAATGTCATTTCTTCCCCTCCATGATTTGTAAGGAACAAAAAGATTGACTTTTTAAAATCCTTTCCTTTAATTAAAGAGTGATGGTCCAGTAAAGCAGTAATGCTGTCAAACACTCCAGGTATCATTTTATCAACTTCATCAAACACAAAGACTGAATATGGACATTTACCCACTCCTTCATATATTTCGTTCCTTATTGCTTCTTTGTGCTCCATCGTTCTATCTTGATTTTCAAATTGTGATCCATGAAATAGATGAAAATATTTGCTATCTACGCCTTTTTCAAATAAAGCTTCGGCGATCATTGTTGCTACATAATTCTTTCCCGTTCCTTGTGATCCATGGAATGTCATGACTAGTGGTTTCTTAGACTTTTCAATTGTTTCAAAATGTGACGCAATCGCTTTAAATAACTTTTCCTGGATTATGTGCTGTCCAAATAGCTTTGAATCCAGTTTATCTTGTAGTGCTAGTAGATTATGAGGTATCAATTCCGGATGACAGCATTCATATTTCTTACAGTACGTATTTAAATAAATTTTATCAGAATATTTATATCCTAGTACCGACAGCCCAATTAAAGCACTTCCGGTCAATATTTCACATAAAACTGATCCAAATGGTATTATTAGAAGAACTATACAGTATTTAACCCATCTCATTGTTTAATATCTTCGTTAATTATAATGTAAAATTGAGATTATTTTAAATGCGGTCACTTGTTTACAAACAGAAATCAAGGAAATGATTCAGGCATGTCCGTGAAAAATGGCAGTTTCCATTTTGACTTTTCATGTTGCTTTGAATGGTTTTTGAAGGATTTTATTGTGTCTGATTATAAATTATCAATATATGAGCATTACGGAGAATGTCAAGCTTTAATTTGTCGATAATTTGCGAACCAAAACAATAAGCTTGTTACTTGGAAATAATCGTTTTTGGGAATACCCCAAAAATTCAAACTTTTAACGGTTTCAAATTAAATTAAGAGATTTCGTTTGGTCAGCAAAATAGGAAGTTTATATGGAAATAAAAGTCTATAGCGGCTTGCTCTTGGCAAATTCTAAGCAGAGTTTATGGATCTGAACAGAAAATAAATTAAGTAAAAATAAACGTCTCGTGTTCTTCCAGATAATTCAGTTCCTTTTTATCCACAAATTGAGCCTTTAAGTCTCTGGATCTAAACTTAGAAAGTACATGCCTCAATGTCTGCTTTTCTACCCTGATTGTCACTAAAAAGCTTTTGAAAGCTTCAAGAAAAATTCAAGTTTCAATGAACCGTTAAAAAAGTCGAAATCTAATTTCAACAATAAAACATTTTCATAGATGATTATCACATTCTTATGAGTTGGATTAGACATTATCAAGCTCTCAAAAATAGTTGTTGACTGATTGAAAACAAGGTACTTGAACCGAATGAAGTACATGCGACGATAAATTACTAATAAAGCCAGAACCGACACACGAAATTACAACATAATCCCTTCCAATAAACAAGTGTCGTCTGACGCAATATTTTTTGCAACAAAGTAAAGTGCTAGTTGGTAAGCAATAAGTCTAAAGGTTGACAATCTAATCAGTTTTAACCAGAGAAAATTGGTGTTTTGAAGCTTCTTAATATTCATTAAAGACTGATAAGAACGATAATGTCTTTATTACAACTTGTTTGTTCAATCAAAAATCAACATCAATAAATTCAATTTACTTTTCATTTTATGTACGACGATACAATAAACATCATATAGATTAGTTTTAATTAACGTATATGCATGAGGATAAAAATACAATTTATTTTAATATTTTGTTTATTGGCGGTTTATGTAAAAGATATAAAAACGAATAATAGCTCGCATTGTGTTGTGTTAATTTTAATTTCTAATGTCAAACAGTAACAAATCATACTTTTAAGGGTGATTCTAGAGATGAATGGGAAATACTAGAAACTTGATGACTATTAAAGGTTCCTTTTAGGTTCTATGTTGATAAAAAAAATTAAAGCTGAATTCAGCAAAATATGGCTGCGTTCTAGCCATATTTTGATGAATTCAGAATTTTCATTTTTGTTAAATCAGCATTATGAATTTAATGAATGAAAATTCCTCAAAACCTCTACGAATTGCCCACCATACTGGTTTAATAGTAAAATTACATGCAATGCCTTACTATCACAATTGAAAATCAATAATTTATCAAGCAACAATTGCATTATGTCATGTAAAATAATTCATTGCAATACTTTTGCTTGTATTAGTCAATTTCCTTGAAAATTGCACCACGTGCTAGCCACGTGAGTCTAATTCAAAAAAAAATCATCTAAATACCGCAAATACCCATAAATTATCTATAGAATTAACCGGCATTAACAAGTAGAGAATTTTCAGTAGATAAATCTCAAATTCATTCAATTTCATGATCGAGTTCAAGCCGACTTTATACTCGTTTACGACAGAGAAAATAATGTACACAAAACAGAAAAAAAATTCTGATGACATATGCTAACAAATCAATTAAAATTAATTCGAGCCTCTAATATTTTTGCCTTCTTTATTTTTTTTTTGATTCCACTTCTTCTCCCCTCATACATTTTCAAATATTATTTTATTATTTTTATTTTGTATTCTTCAACTATGTGTACGGAAAAAGAAAAAAAAATCGAAATTTATACGATCAACATTTTTTTCACTTTACTCTACTAGTCGTTTGTCGAACAGCACTAAGTCCAGTCAGTAAATATCGCAGTCAATAAGTATTATTGTTATTGGAAAGCAAGAATAAAAGGAAAAAGAGCATAAAGCCAAATACAAAGTATTGAGATAGCTTAATGTGGAAATAAAAATTGTTTTATGGTAGGAATAAAGCTAGTTGTGGGAACTGCACGCACGGATGAATGGAAATTTGTGGAATTGTTTGAAGTATATTAAAATAGATTATTCGGGAATGTTTGAGGCATGGAACTTTTTATGTATGAGAAATTTTTTTTGTTTTAAAAATTCGATTGTTTGAACTTATAGGATTTTCATACTTTCTATCCCCCCCCCCCCCCCTTTTCTGAAAATCTTCTTTTGCATTCAAGAGTCATACTTTTTAACAACTTTTCCTCTTTAATGATGGATGTCACATGCTAAAAACCCTTTATAGAATTGTGCCTATATCTCTTGAGTGCACCTCTGGATAAACTCTTAAAATAACAGAAGCAACCTATGTCAATGAGCAAATTGGGGATTGATTGAAGAATCCTTATAAAGAGGTATTTTTGGACAGTTGTATGGTTGCTGGATCATTGAATTGTCAAGAATAAATAAATATCAACTTACAAGTATGTGATTATTGCTTGAATTTCAAGATTTCTTGAAATTTTGAAAATTTCTTTAAAATTTTGAAATCGTATAAATGAAGCAAATTGAACTGAATTTGCTCTGTTCCTGTAAATTTCAAAATCCAACTGAATTCGACTTGTTTCACAAACTTTCAAAATCCAAGAAAAATACGTTAAATATTCAAACATTCAAACATGCTCACTTGATTTTTATAAAATAATTCTCATATTTTCCGAGCGTGCTTATCAGCTGTTTGCAATACACAAACGAAAAAAACGAATAAAGTTACCACCACTAGAAAAGAAAGTAATAAAGTTTCTCCCAAATCGTGTCCTATGTAGAGTAACGGTAGAAAAAGGAGAAAAAAAAGTGAATGAGTGAATCACAGTAGTCTATTTCTTTTTCAATTTCCATCGAATGAGTCCGTACGTAAAAAGCGAAAAAGAGAAAAAAAAGAAAAAAAGCAACAACAATCAATGCCTTTGCTTGTCAGTGAGTGGCAAACGGCTAAAAGGAAACTCGCGAGTTTAGTTTACGTTGTGAATTCATCGAATTTCCATCAGTTGAAAATTCATAAAATATCCTCAACCTGTGCATATATAAAATAATTTTAATCTTCACAAAATTTGTGGAATAAAGTGAGGATAGATTTTGAGGAAAATTGTGTAAAATTAATCGTGAAAAGTGATGTGCAAAAAAACAAAAATTGTGTGAAGTGAAATTAAGCAGTGAATGAAGGAATAAAATTTATAATATAAAAAGCTGCTTAATCAAGACTGTGAATAAAAAAAGTAGTTCTATATTCATTAAAATCTAATCAATTAGCAATTGCTGTTGTTCTATCAAATCACATCGAGCATACCGACAGTAAATTTTAATTTAAATTGGTTTAGCGCTGTGTGGAAGGAATAAAAAAAAATCGGAAAATAAGGAGAAACAATTAGAGTGCTGATAATACAATGGAAAGCAATCGAGATGACAGTAAGTAAATACATTGGTTCACTGCACTTTTTACTCATACAACACGTATTTATGTACACAAACCATAAATCGATATTTTAATTTGAAAAGAAAATCCGCTTTTGTGGAAAACAGAGCGTGGGAAAATTTGCATGCTGAAATGCAGAGTTGTAACTTGTTGACTTACTTTTTGGAAATAGTAATAGCTTAGTTTTCAAATGTTTGTTTGAATTTAAATTTGAATTTACGTTCTCTACACAAGATTGACCAAAGATTAGGTTTTAAACTTAGTCTTTGCCTTAGTATTGCATAATAAAGATTCAAAGAGACTCACTCTATAGTTATTATTTGTCAAAGTTGGGAATCGAACTCACAAACATACAAAACTAGGATTGACGATTAACGTTCTCTTGCTCTTCTACTCGACTAGAAACACGTGACTCTCATTTTGACAAATTTGCTTTTATATTATTCGATAGTTTTCGTCTACATAAAGTTAAATTTTATGCATTCCTAAAAGTGAAGTTTATTGATTTTGGAATTTAGGATAGAAAAACATAGATAGCAATCAAAACTAGCCACTGTTATGCTCTAATCATTCTCTAGATTTTTTAAGATCCTAGAAATCTGAGTCTTTTTGCAAAGTTTTTTTTTTCATTTAATTGCACTTTATTGCATTTATTGACGACCTTCTGTGCGGTAATAATTCACATTTTACACTTTTTGTATTTGTATACATATGAATTAATATTATGTAGGATCAAACTTCTAATCTTCAAATCTAGGTTTCAAATAAACTAAGGCTCTCGTTTCGATTTTCTGTGGGCGTGACGTGATACTTTCAGGTCCGTTCCAACAATATTCCATTCGTGGGTAATCTTGTAGCTCTCGTTCCTATTTCTGCCGCTACACTTCAAGTTCCTGACTAGTTCCTTAATTCAACGTTGCCCAAATGCCCAATTATTGCTTGATCTCGTACATTAGTTAAGTAAGTTTGATAGACACTGCTTCAGATTAGAATGTTCTGATCTAAATAGTTACAAAAACCACAAAACAAAGTAAAAAGCTTTTTTGATATCCATTGTGAGACACCAACTCTGTCAACAATATAAATTGAATGAAATAGACGAGTAAAGAAGTAAAATGAAATTAAAAATAAGAATCTGTTGATATTTTTATAATCAAATTGTAAAACATTTCATTTTTCTCGGAATATTTTTCCCTTTTTTTTCTGTGTTCCACGTGCATACTTTTTATTCACATTTTTTTTCTACAATAAAGAATTTGTGTTGGGCTGAAAAGGTAGATTCATAAATCAAAAACTGGCTAGATTTATCATTTAAGGGTATGTTCTTATTTTTTGGAAATACAAATAAAAAGTTTTGGGATTTTTTTAATTTTTATAATTCATGAATTTTGCATAGGACATTAAAGATGCCAGCAAGGTTGTGTGTATGATG